AAGAAATGCTTGATATGTAAAACAGAAGCATCTCCTAATTCCAATTGTAGTTTTCACACGTAAGTACATATTAATATCTCTAACCTCAAAATTTAATTAATTTTTAATGGACAATAGCAAAACTGTATACTTTTATAAATATTTAATAATGTGCATTTGATATTATATTGTTTGTAGTAAAATTTTTATTTTTTTATTTTTTTATATTTTATTTCTTTGTGTTAAATAATAAGACTGATTTAAAAGATTTAATTTTTGTGTTAAAAAAATTTAATTTTTGTGTTTAAAAAATTTAATTTTTGTGTTAATTAATAAAAGACTGAATAGAATTCTATTCTATTCTATGATTAACATTGTATGAACAACATGTAATAAATTTTGTTTTATTATTATATATATTGAGTATATTTATATACAATTCCATATTCAATTCCATATTAAAAAAAAAGTAATATTTTATGGTAATACTATGTACTTTGCTGTAATAATTTGGTAATTTTGGGAATTATTATTTAAGGATATATTTTCAAAGGGGTTCAAGGGGTTAGAACATAAATGCGTTATTATAGGTTATATCTCTACATGCGTTATAGGCTGCATTCCGATATTCACCGTCAGCAACTTTCGGTACTGAAAATCTATAGTATACGTGACATAAAATATAGATTTGCAGTATTGACGTGAATATCGGAATGCAGCCATAGACACTGAGCAGCGCAAAGACGCATGCGTGCATAGACAAAGACAGCAGGGGCCCATATGCAGCGTTCTCTTTCTATTCCTATATCGCAGTCTCTTACGTGCGAGCATATGACTCGCGCACTCTATTCTTATATCTCTATGGTCGAGGCGGAAGTGGCTTCCTGGAAGATCAGCTGACGCCTGGGCGGTTCGTTTTGTTGCGCGGTGAATGGAACATTGGGGACCCACTCCCGGGGCCCTCGAATGCAGCCGATATGCGGCCACGGCGGGAACGCCGGGAAGGAGGCGGAGGGTGGTGGATCGCGCGAGAGGAGGGGGTAAAGCAACGAGCACGTTAAAACAAGAAGATTGGAATAAAAGGTTGGCCTGGCCGCGGGAAGGTAAAGCCAGAGCGGGCCCGGAGGTGGAGAAGAAACGGAGAAGAAACCGGTGGGGGCGGGGCTCCGTCTGCGGATGCTGGTATGGAGCCCAGTCCCGCTTCGCACACCATCTTCCTTCATCTCGGACCCAACCCCCTTTCGAGACAGCAGTACGTGGCCCATCTTCGGGTTCCTTTGCTCCCGTCGTTTCTTCTATTTTAACGTGCTTCTCCTCTTCATCTTTCTCTATCCTCGTCCTCGTTCTCGTCCTCGTCCTCCTCCTCCTCCTCCTCCTCCTTCACATCTTCCTTCTGCTCCTTGACCTCCACACCCTCGGCCAGCGTCTCCAACTGTTCGGCAACACTCCGACGTCGTTTGTCTCGACGTCCCACTCCTTTGTTCTCGGCGATGGCTCGACAATTTCGCGGACGTTATCTGCGATTTAACGAGCCGTAACATGCACCGAGGGCAATTAGTACCATGCCAAACAGGGAAATTAATATCGCTTTAATGTCGCTACGTTGATTATATACCACAGGATACACGCACGCGAGTCAAGTTGCAGACGCGCGAGAGTTAACACGGGTTTACCCGCACGTTTAAGCGATAAGATACGAAATATGTAAACGAGGTGTAAGGCGACATGCGCTTCGTAATTAGTGGCCATCGGGGCCGAGTGATGAAGGAGAGATAAAATAACATCGGGGCAGAACGCCGAGAGAGAGAGCATCCTTCACACAACGCGACTCATCATCTCCCATCAACCTGACTGGTTTCTCAGCTACTGGCAGCTCGCTATTCGTAATACCACGTGTGCGTGTGTGCGTGTAAACTTTTCATTCGTGTTCGTAAGGATTGATTGGACTTAATTTATCTCCGTAAAGACTGAAAATATCGATAAACTTTTACAAATAATAGGCATATATTCTTATATTTTACTGTGCAGCGTATCACTTATGTATTTTATAGTATGTACAGAAGCCAAATTTGCTAACATTGTTAGTACCGTTGCTCTCTTTTTCGATTAAATCGAGAACCATTATAATAAGTGGCCGAGCGATATTCCGAATGACGATGCTCCTTCAAACGATTTCCAGGAAACTTTCATCCTCATACCTCTCACAGAAATTGGGATTGGCCCAATTCCATTAAGGTCCTTTCTGTGAACTAAAGCCGCGGCTTCCCTTTTGCGTTTCACACGAACAGTCGTTTTCGGGAGGTTCGGCGCGCGTACAAGCACTCGGGTGAACTTTTTTCGATTTCCGCCGCAATTCTTTTCTTCCTCCCCTTTCCTCCACCGTCTTCGCGTAACGCTCCTTATCCCTAATGTATTACGGGCCGGGCCATTTTTTACTCGAAATGGATTTTCATATAAGACCCGACATTCTCGGCTTTGGCCAACCGCGCGCACTCCTTCTCACTCCATCATATCCTGTATCTCTTCAACTCCGCCAAAATATTTGTAAATAGATGTAAAGTCTGGGAGGGGCCCAGGGGGTACCCTGCTGTGCGAACAAGGCTCCCCATAGCGCACTACGGCCGATATATCTCTCGAGCCCTTCACCATTCTTCCCTCTCTTTATATGAGACTCCTTCGCAGCCTTTTATACCTCCCCCTCCTCCATCTTCCTCTTCTTCTTCTTCTTGTTCTTCTTGACTCCGTCGTCATTCTCATGCTCTATTACCTCGGTTCTCATCGTGTATCGTGCAAGGCGAGGACTACGCACGAAAGCCAAAGGCGCATGAGAAAATTTTCGTGGATCGATTTTTTATCATAATCTTTGTATCAAGAATGTGTATTCGATATTTTGGTGACAGGTGAAGTAGGAATACGTATTCCTGCATACGCATCCTACCTTTATAATCTGCTCGACAATATCTTTACGTTCGAGGAGCAGCCCCTAGGAAATCAAAATATATCTTATTCCAATATCACTATAAAATGATTGATTCATTTTAAATTGATTTTTCCAAGGGATGCATGACGATAATCCTTCGCTTTCATGCGCCGGAAGTAACATGACAAGTCGATCGAAAGTTAGCCATGTTGTGATATAGCAGATAGCTGAATCAACAGACTTATAAATTTCGCGAAATGTATCACACACAAGGGAATTAAGGGCCGCCTATTGAACGAATTCGGATACGCTCCGTTCACAGGGGTTCATTTGAACCTCGGGGACTTTAATGGAAATTCATCTGACAGCCGACGGGCGTGCAATTCACTCGCAGCAATCGCGTGCACGTGGCGTGAAGGTTTCCACCGGCGTGGCGCGGCGCGGCGCGGCGAGGATCCGATCTCGTGAGCGCGAGAAAATAAAAAGGCGGTGAGAAGAGGAGGAGGAGGTGAAGGAAAGGTGGGACCGGTCCCCCGACGCCCGACGAGAGGCCGTCGTCTGCACTCAATAGGGGCTAATTGCCGCAAGGAAAGCTGCAAATTCGTGGACATTGTTAGCTCCGTTCCATTCTCGGGTAGTGTCGAACGGGCCTCATTGTGGCCGCGCGAATCGCGAGCTGCTTCGTGTCCGACGGTGCACCGTCGGGTTGCGCGCCGCCATTGAAATACCACGAGAATGAAAAGGGGTGAGATGCAGGCCGCCGGAGTGTGTAAAATTCGTCGCGGCCGCAGCGCGTTCTCGCGATCGACAGACACCTCACGACGGATTCTTCACGACGCCGACGTTCACGACGGCTTCTACTACTCTCCCTTCACCTCCTCCCCCCCACTCCAAAGTTGCCAAAGTCGATTGTGCCCTCCCGAAAATTACCTTCTTCCGCGCACTCGGCTGGGAAGAAAAAGTGCAAAAGGAGCCCCTTGGGCAACTCGGGGGAGAGGACCCGCTCGATTTACACCGAGCGCGTTCACGCACAAGCGGGCCTGTCTGTGTTCTGATCAGTCATCCGCATGATACAGCCCTGCGTGGGCGATTGCCCTCCGAGAATCAATTTGAACACGGGCCTCGGACGTCTCGAATGCCCTTCGACAATGCCGCGGCTCCGGTCAATGGGGACTCCCTTGCGTTTGGCTTCTCGCGCCCTCGATACGCCGCGTTCCGGATTAAGCCCGGGTTTACACGGGTCCCGCGCTATTGGGGCCCCTGTCTCACTGAGTCGGGGCTATCCATGCTTCGTTACGAGAACGCGTACCCTATTGACTCACTGGAGCACCGCCTGGCTGCCGTCGTCGTCGACGTAGAGGTAGACAATCAGAAGGAACGAGAGAGAGAGAGACAGAGAGAAGTGGTTCCAGGTGAGAAGAGAGGAAGCGGCTCGGCGTGACCGAATGATCCTCGACATCGGCCGTATTTATATTCCTGTTTGCCCGCTGATTCGCCACGGATCTGTGCCCGTTAAAGTCTCTTAAAGATCCAGGACCAACCTCATAACCGGTCAAAATACGCACTCGTTTTCCTAACCGGCGATTCACGCGATCGCTCTCTCTGTACCTGACGCCACTGGTCACGACTAAGGTCTCCTTTTTCCGCGCGCACCATGAAATCGACTGAATTCCCCGGGCTTGGAGCCGAGCCGAGCCGAGCCGAGTTGGACCGTCGTTGGCGCGACGTTTTCAAATGTGACGGAAATCGTATTAAGCGGAACTAACCGGAAAAGTGGGTTGCGATGAAAAGTCTCGCCGAAAGAAACGAAAGCCGGCTCTAATTTCAGAATGTATACTTAATCCGAATTCAAAATAAATACACTAAAAATACACTAAAAATAATTTTCTGAAAGTAGAATATAGGAGAAGTAATACGGTCTCTAGATTTTAATTCCTTATAAATCCTTATAATATTTTAAATCCTTAAAAATACATTTCAACATGTCAGATGGTGTGAGCCTAATATCATTGCATCTAAAAACAAACTTCCCTCCGTTTGCCGATTAGATTAAGCGCAGCCTGCCGATCTGTTATCAATGTTGATTCGTGCAATATTACAGAGGTGCAAGGAGAAACTCAACACCTTGGCGATCTCGGTGATGAACCAATGGCCTGGAGTGAAACTGCGGGTGACCGAGGCCTGGGACGAGGAAGGGACACACGCGGTAGATTCCCTGCACTTCGAGGGACGAGCCGTCGATATAACGACGAGCGATCGCGATCTCTCCAAGTACGGGATGCTGGCGAGACTCGCGGTTGAGGCTGGCTTCGACTGGGTCTACTACGAGTCCAGGTCCCACATACATTGCTCCGTCAAGTCTGGTTAGTAGTTTCCGTCAGAACGCAGTAACAAATCAATTCGAAGGGATGTACGAGTCGCGATCGAATTGTCTTGAATCGCGCCGAAGAAAGCGAGAGGATTAAAAGCGGTCGATCCGCGGACAGTGTGTGGATTTTAATTGCGGTCATTTCGCGTTAATACCCGCGTAAACGCCGCGTCAATAAAGATGAGCGTATAAACTACCGGACAGTAGTTGTAATGATGCCGTTTAATGCAATAAAGATGCTGGAGTCGGTGCAGTTGTGTAATAACGTCGTTTAATGGAACAAGGATACTAAAGTCGCGCTGTTCTTAAATCGCGAGTGACAAAGTGACTTGGCGCCTCGAGTGCATGTATTATATAGATAAATGACGACATAAAATCATCTAACATTATTGATATTGCTGTAATCTGACTGAGATCGTTAAACTTGAATAATTTTTCGAACCAACATCTAGATCAAGTTAAATGAAATAATTAAATGAATACCGTATTGTTTTCTACTTCTCTCGTAAAAATTGGTGCCACTACCTTGTATGTCAGTCTTAAAGATGCCTATTTTACCGACTCCTCCTCCCTCTGCTCATTGAGAGTTACACATGCAATGTAGCAATAATAGAAACGTACGAGTACTTGTGAATTTAAATTAAATTCAATTATTTCTATCAAGCTTGATTTTAGTTCGGATATAATCAATTAATTAAATAATTCGAATATTTCTGTCTAAAATATCTCTGATATTTTTATATATCAGAAATTTTATTGAGGTTTTTGAAAATAATCCGTCACGTGACTTTTAGTCAAATTTCAATCGAATTCGATTCAATTTTTGAAACGATCCAAACTGAATATCCGAATTTCCTCGAAAACATCCTAAATAACATGCAGACAGCAACACCACTAATTAGTTTTCTCTGTTAATGAAAAACGGTCCGCAGAAAACTACAAATGTCAAATAATTATCAGATAGAATATCAAGTAGATGTAAATAATTTATAATATACTCTATCATACGCGCTAAATAATGAGGCATGGAGGAAATTTCTGCATACACCAAAAGATGGCTCCTGCGGTATATATTTATATATAGCATCCCTAATGTAACATTTTCAAAATCACGATTTTTGTATTTGGAGAAACACGAGAATGACCCCTTAGAGTAAAGTGATACTTAATTAACCTTGTCGCGCATCTACTTTCTCTTTCGATCCAGTAATATTTATCCGCACGAGAGCAATCAGCGATTCGTGTTCGTTCCAGGCCACGGTTGGGTCTCGAATTTCAAAATAAATGCCGATAAATCAAGGCGTGCCTGTCGGTCCGAATTAAAACCGAGCATAGAAATTGGCGCGAAATCGATACGAGTCGATGTCGAGGGGAACGAAAAGGGGAAACAATGAGGTAGAGGGGAACCGAAGTGTGCAACAAAAAGTGCGAACGCGATCCACGCGCGTTTAACGCTTCGCCAATTTTCACTATAATCACGTTAATTAATCGACAGGCGATTGCGAGCTTAACAAATGGCAACACTTACATCCTCTTTGTACCGTAATTAAAGGATATTCTAATTTTTGAAAATGTTATTACATTTATAAAGTCCTTCTACATCCGCACGCGTATTTTTATCGCAGTCTTCCTTATAGAATATGATTTTAATAACGCTTTGCTTATCTCGGTCGCGCGTAATCAGAGTTTAAAAGAATATAAATAATACTTAATTTAGAGGTAACGCCATTTTCGGTCAAGACTAGATCTTGGTAGCCTAATAACATTATTCTCGCGTGAATTTTTGTGTACAATCCTTCGCCTTAGCAAATCCTTCTCTTTATTATTATATAAATAATACTTTTTATTATGATATACATTTTTGCTTTTTTTTCTCTCAATTGTTTCACTGTCTTATCTCTCTTTCGCTTTTAGAATCGTCGTCAGCAGGCAAGTCTAGTGGGTGCTTTCCCGGGAGAAGTCTGGTCCGGACGGAGGACGGCAGTACGAAGAGGCTGGACGAGGTGCATCTCGGCGAGCGTATCGCCGCTCTGGATTCCCGTGGCGACGTTGTGTACAGCGAGGTGATCGCTTTCCTGGACCGTTCTCCATCCGAGAGGAGACAGTTCATCCGCCTAACGACTAAGTCCGGCCGAGTGCTCACGTTAACGCCAGCGCATCTGGTGCCGGTGGAGGGTCGGTCGTCGGTGTTTGCCTTCAGCGTGCAACCCGGCGATAGGATCCTCGTGAGTGACACCGATGCGACGAGCGCGGCGAATGAGGTGGACAGTCGTCTGCGATGGGACAGCGTGGTCGAGACGAAGCTGGTCCTCGAGGAGGGAGTCTACGCCCCGCTTACGATGGAGGGCACCCTTCTCGTAGACGACGTTGTCGCGTCCTGCTATGCCGTCGTTAATAGTCAATCGGTGGCGCATTACTCCTTCCTGCCGCTGAGGATTTGGCACAGCATAACATCCTTTTTTCGGCAAAGGCTGGGCGACCCGCAACACCTCGTGGAGAGACATAACAATGCATCCAGAACGGAACCGACGACAGGAGGAGAGCAAGAGGGCGTCCACTGGTACGCGTCGATGCTCTACTCGTTCGCCTCCTACGTGCTGCCGTCGAAGATGCTCTACAACTGAGATCTTCAAGAACGATAGACCTCGTGCTCCGAATCAAGTGTCGAGTGAATCATCGAGCATACGCTCGAGTGTTCAGTGCAAGATTCGAAAGACTTCTCGAAGCCACGAAACTTAGTGTTGATTAATCATCGGGACGTCGCCTCGTCTCTCGGGACTTGATTTTTTATGGATCGTTGTCATGGATTCCGGTTACACGCATGTCGTTGAAGACAGTTAACGTATGACCGCGGGGTTCCTGTTGTGAGAAATGCGTGTATTTAATACATGGAACAAAAGACGTCGTCGTAGGCGAGAGACATAAAGTTGGCCAGTGACCTACCAGTGTTCACCGAATGACGTGTGGAATATTAAATCCTTAGGACGATAGCAAAATAGAAAAAATGGAAAACAGAGTTTTAGGGAGAATCGGGACTTTTTTCTCTTCACGTTTTAAATGTATGTACACATTATACTGATATACAAGTATTTCTTCTCTATTTTTTTAGTGTTCGCGCATCGTGTGCGTCTCGTCCGGTATACTTGTTTCTGAGATGTCGAAGGGAATTGCCTTTGTGTCGCGGAAATGTGTGTAAGATAATTGCCGATTATTCTATTGTAACGTTATTCCAAACGATCTTCTGGATGTACGTGCGAGCAGTAAGAAAGCGTCTATATTTTTAAATGTACGTTGTTGAAATCGTAATTAATTTAAAGGAATGAAGAAGTATCATTACTTTAAGTAGGATCCACAACGCGTCTTTATAGAATAATAAAAGATTATTGTATATACCCCGCTTTTTTTGTTTTCCCTCCTTCCTCTAACGCAATGAGGAGGGGGTGTAGCCTACTTCTTTTTTTCATTCTATTAACATTGCTTGTATCCCATATACATATAATTTAATGTTACATATCCGAAATTGTAATTATAGGTCTATTCAGTTCGAGCCGCACTTTCTTTCTTTTGAAAGAAAATCGATATACATTTGGAAGATAGAAACGAGAGAAGCAAATTGCAAAGAAAGTGCGACTAAAAAAGTAAACAACCTTATAGATATTTATTGTCACTATCGATTGTGGCAATAACTATCGATTACCGCTGTACAATAATGTTAAATCGCATTGTTCTCCGTGTCATATTTTTAACAATAGTCAATTATAATCAACATGTTAACAAAAGTTAATTAATTATTTTAATAATATAAGAACTATTTTTCATTAAGAAACATAACTTAAATTATTATCAAAATATTATATATTATTATATATATATTATTTTATGTATATTATATTATATATTATAATTATTATTATTTCAATTATATTATTATTATTTGTATATTGCACACAAACAAATTATAAATTATGTATATATACCTCTTCCAAAAAATTGAATTACATCATTAACGAAAGCAGATCGTCGTGTCTTGTTATTTCCGTACAGCGAATGCTATTGATTAAATAAGTAAGTTAGAAAATTTAAGCAAAGAAAGACATAATCCATTACTTTATACCGTAGAAAAATTATTTTATTATAAAAAAATATTAAGTATGTTAAGTCTTCTCTTAATTATACTTACAATTAGAAAAATAATTATTTCTCCTTCTCTGCCTCTCTCTCTTTCTCTCTCTTCTTTCTGAAATTTAATGTTCTACTATGGAAGCAACTTCATTTCTATACTGCACCAATAAATCGAAACAAAATGTAATTAACATGAAAAATATCTTTGACATTTCGTTGTTCTAAAATATTTTATATTTAATGCCTGAATTTTTCGAGCGGTTCGATTTATATTTCAAAAATAAATCTTATTTTATATAATCGTGAGAAACGATTATAATCTACTGGTCACTCGTAATGACGGATAATGAGACAATAGCCGGCACAGAGGACGAACTTGAAAATGTAAGATTAAAAAAGATATTGACCCACAATTTTCTAGCACTCATTTTCTTTTTTCCTCTCTTCTCTCTCTCTCTCTCTCTCTCTCTCTCTCTCTCTTTCTTTCTCTCTCTCTCTCTCTCTCTCTCTCTCCGCTTAATCTTTTTAATATAAAAAATAAAAATGTAATATAATACAACCCAGGTTTATCTCAAGGTTATTTTATTGCAGCATGCTGGTGTGGCATATCCGCATTTGCAAGAACTCGAAAAAAGGTTTTTCGAAGTTGTCGCTGATGGAAGTGTCACCGAAGTACGGTTATTCCTGGAAAAACATCCGGATTTCAATATAAACGTCATAAATTTCCAAGTGAGTACATAAATTTGTAATTTTTTACGTAATTCTAAAAGTGTATGAAATATTAATACGAAAGAAAAGGTATAGATCACTGTACTCAAGCAAGTTGAAGAAACTCATTCGCGCGGAATCAAAAGTATTATATGAGCTCGTTTCCTGATTTGCAATTAAATATTGATTAAGCACAAGAATGATCAAGGATACTATTTACAAATATCGTTGACGATCTGAAATACTAAATTACATCATGATACAATGAGTTTTCCATAAATCACTTGACTTTTTTTTCTATTTGATTCGTTGGACTACCCATGAAGCGGTGCAAACGGTTTCAAACCAAACTCTTAAACAGCTCATAAAGATTTCCGGATTTATCTTTCTCGTCACCGGCTTTCCGTGAGTCAAACGATACCGCCACTCATGTTAAGATTCACCGAAACGACGAAGCGTCAAAAGGAGATACGCTTTTCGCATTTTCGATGTTCAGGTCAACTCTGTCAATCTTTTCTTTAAGATCGCCTGGTGTTAGTAATTTAAGATGTTCTACCGTTTTGAATTTATACTTGACCTTTGATGCTTAGCAGAAAGAGATTCAAGAAAGATAGGTCGAAGTGCAACTAACGGAGTAATCGTTATCGTTTGCTCTAATTGTAATTTATGCTATTAACAAATATCAATGGGTCAATTTTTCATAAAAATTTTCGGAAAAGTTTTTGTACAATTTAATTAAACATTCAGTTATATATATCTTAAAGAATCCAACCGTTTCAAAGTGTTTGACAAACTCATGCGGTTTACCGCGTGCAAGAAACGGCGGAACCAATACAGGAAGAAGGGAGACAAAACGAAGAGAATGAAAGCGATACGAAGTCCAGTTATCTCAGATCTTTACCCTATAAAGGAACACGTACCCCCCGTGGAATGTTTCCTTCATCCATTCGGTCGGCATTGGTAATCACCTCAGTGTGCTCCTTTCTCTCTCTTTCTCTCTCTCTCTCTCTCTCTCTCTCTCTCTCTCTCTCTCTTTGAGAGGGTTCCAGAAAAGCGACCAAACTCTCTTTTGACTTTGAGACCGAAATGCCGAAGCGGCACGAAAAGAGATGGCACGCGCATGGAAGGAGTGGAGAAGAGAGAGAGAGAGAGAGAGAGACAGAAGAGGGAACTCGATGGAAAAAAGAGAGAAGGAAGCTGCGTGTTCTCCGGCTGTATCTCTAGCCATATTTCAGGCCGTCTTTTTACAAGACAATGGTTTCAACCGAGACCTGATAAAAATTATTCAAATAGCCCGACCCGCTGTAAATTCCATATGGGAATTCCCTCGACATCGGGAGCTCTTCCACGATCTACTTGCGTGCCTTGACGCGATCTATAATGCATCAACCTCTCTCGATGCGCCAATTCGACCCCGTTATTTTCTGACGGTACTTTTGAGAGTCCCTTTAAACTATCCTTTTTCCCTGTAAAATAGGAATTTGAGATATAAAAAATATAAACTTAGCGAGCTTCTCGTAAGAGGATTATCTCACGTTAAGAGGCCACACCTCGGTCATTCTGCCGAGTGTTTTCGCTTACCATTCATACTTCATACAAAAAAAGAATATAGCAAAAACAAATGATAAACAAATATTTAGCCGGGCGTAAAATCTGGTGGAGTCACGGGTCACGGCATCAAGGGCGGCAGCTGTCTATTGTCAAGGGACAGCTAACAAGGGCTTTTTGCCGAACATATATCACGGAGTGTTATTGTCGTTAGGCGTGGATGTACACGGATACTCCCAGGGGCCTGTCGAAAAGCCAAAATATCAGTGAATATTGTGACTGGTGTCGGCGACAACAATGGTGCTGGCCCATTGTTGGGGCCCGCCTCTGTAAACGCACCGCAGATGGGCGAGAAACGTCGTCGAGCCATTCTTCCTACAAAAAGGGACACGGCCGAGAAAAAGAGTGGAGTCGATAGCCTTCTAAAAGTCGATCTCGCTGCAGGAAGAGGACCGTGGTGGACTCACGGCGGGAAGGAATTCCGGGAAAGTTCAGAATTTCGGTCGTTCAACCATTTGTGGCGTACCGCTTCGCGTTTTCTTAGGCAGATCGCCATTTCCGCAATCGATTATTGACAATTACAGGTAGCAGGGGCAATAGGAACGGAGGGGAAAAAAAACGCCTTCTGAAATTCATCCATTGTGTCACGTACGCTTCATTTTTCATCTTCTCGCTCCGTTTTCTCTTCTAATTTATAAAGAAGCGAACTTTCCCTGTCAGTCAATAAATGTCAATGGAATGTTTCATTTTCAGGGCGTTAGTGCGCTGCATATTGCTGTTAACGAGAGAAACACGGCGATGGTCGAGTATCTGTTGTCTCATGCGGACATCGATCCGGGCGACACGCATCTGCACGCAATCAGAGATAATCAAACGAGGATCGCCGCGATGATATTGAATAAGCTGAATGAATTGACGCCGGGCCTCGAATACGCCGGTGTCACTCACAGCCCAGATTTCCCGGACGATACAACGCCGCTCGCGGTAGCGGCACAATACGGGCATTTCGAGATGATTGATATGCTCAGATTCCGACGTCACATTCTACAGAAACCACATCCGCCTAGTTGTAACTGCGACGAGATTTGCAAGTACGAAATTTAATTTACGAATTTTTTTCATCCAAGTCCAGACCAACGACTTGAAAATACCGCAATTAAATTGCTTATTCCATTCTTACATTTACCTTTATTTTTTTTCATTGTTATAGACCGGAAAGGGAAAGAAGTGATATTCTGACCATAGAAAAAATGAGATTGTTCATGTATAGGGCGATATCGAATCCAGTATACATTTGTCAAACTGAAGAAGACCCGATCTTAAAAGCTTTTCAATTATCGGCCGAACTTCGTAAAGAAGCTTCATTTGATAAAGAATTCTATCCCGATTACATAGCATTGTCCCATGTTAGTTAAATCTTATTTCTTATTGAAATTTATTGGATATATATATATTAATAATTATTATCAGCAAAATTGTTCATTTCGTTACCTAAGGAAGACAGATCTGTAGAAAAGAGGAGACAATAAATTATCTATTATATTAATGTATTTTGATGATATATGCGACGTGACAAGATATTATCTGTTGCTCATGAAAAATTAATAATGCACCTAGTTTTATGATAAAGGAGGTGTCCCAATTCGCCACAGACTTAATCGGATGCGCTCGTACCTCCGAAGAAGTCGAATGTGTATTAAGACAAATCGCTGGTTTCGGTCGTACCTCTAGTTTCGTGTACCCCCGACTCTTACTAGCTTTGGATTATGAGCAAAAAACTTTTGTGGCTCACCCGAATGTACAACAGGTATCGTAACAATTGATATTCATGTTAATCTCATTTGATATCGTGTCTTACATTGCTGTAGTTAGTACTAAACGATTTAAAAAAATTCTTATGTAAAATAAAAAAAATTAAAATTATTTGTCTTCTATAAATCTCTTAATTTTAATAATTTTTTGAATCGGGTTACACAATTCAGGCTTTACAGTAATTGCTGAAAATTAATTCAGCTTTTCAAGCACGGGCTTAATTTATAAAAGTAACTTGCAAGCATCACCACGAAAGTTTTCGCAAATGATTTTGTTTCAGCTTGTCGAGAGCAAGTGGATTGGCACGTGGCACGAATGGAAGGTCAGAAATACGTGGCTGAAGTGCTTGACGGTAATTCCACAGATCGGCATGCTACCAATCATAGCACTCGTCGTGTTGCTCGCACCGAACTCAAAACGAGCCAAGTTCTATGAAATCCCGATTAACAAATTTCTCTCCTCCGTGGCGAATTACCTGATATTTCTCACATTCGTGTTTTTGCAATCGCGTAGCGACAAAACCGAACAGCTTCGCGGACCACCCAATACTGGTGCACGTCCAATTACCTCCGGTTAAAATTAGATCTTGGTCAAATATCTTCTTTTTTTTTAAGTGAATTTATCCCTTTAGGATACGAATGGATTCTCGCTATTTACGTGATATCGTATGCATTTGCATTTGCTCGACTTTGCATCGTGGACGGTCCAGTTAGATGCTTCAGAACACGTACGAATTGGTAAGACGAAAATTAGTTGATACTAAATCGTAATTAACAATAAATTTTAAAAAACTATGTGCAAATTTTGTAATCTAATTAATGTATAATTTATGATCACTTTTTAATATAAATATTTTTCTCGTACAATGCAGGTATGAGCTTGTTATGATCGTATTGTTCATTCTGACGTTTCTCTTCTGGATAGTTGCCGCAGTAGACGTTAGAATAAATGGTCAACGTGATTTGGAAAGAAAATACTGGCACAAATATGATCCGACTTTGATAGCGGAAGGGATATTTTGTATTGCGACTATCATGGCCTTTTTTAAATTATTATTTATCTGCCAGCTAGACTATGATCTAGGACCTTTGCAACTTTCCTTAGTTAAAATGATCAGAGACGTTGGCCATTTTGTCGCAATATTCGGTATCATCGTTATGGCATTCACAGTTGGTAAGATCATAGCACATATTAAATTGTGTAAAAAGTTTCTTTGAATCAGTGGAATAACTGTGAGTAATTTATTTAACAAAAATTTGCGTAATTTTAGCATAACATTATCCCAGAACTTTCCAGGTTAAAAGAATTTGTATCTGCAAAAGAAAACCAGTTTAAAACAGTTTCAAAAGGCTTTTTGCACAATTCAATATCTTTTTTTATAGCCCAATGTTTTATGAACTTGAGACATTGCTTTAGGATTGTGCCATCTTTATCAATATTATAATGGAATGGTGCAGACCGATGACGAATCAAAACTGAAGACGGAGCAAGAAAATTCCTTCGTCGACTTCAAGTCCACACTAAAGACTCTCTTCTGGGCTGTTTTTTGCATGAGTCCTGTAGAAAGTGCCGATGTGATCATCGAAAACCTTCCAGGGGAAAGAGAGTCAGAGACAATAATCAATCATCATAGCTTCACCGAATTTATCGGTTATCTTGCTTTCGCCAGTAAGTAACACTATTCCTATCAGTACTGACAATTTATCAAGCCGTTCTAATAACCTATTCTTCCTATTTTTCAGGTTTTCAATTTATTTCTGTGGTAATCGTTTTGAATATGCTAATTGCGTGTATGGCGAATACCTTCACCAAAGTGACCGATAACGTTAATGTGGAATGGATCTTTGGTCGAACTGAAGTTAGTGAATTCTTATAAGTACTTACATTTCAACGTTTACGTTTTTGACGTTTTAAAACAAATTTTTCAAGCTGTGTATTCAATGTAAAAAATGCGATAAATGAGAGAGGCGAATATGAAGTTTAAAGTAACAAATCGTGGACCATTTATAAATGTCAATATCACATGACCGCTCCATTTTTTTCAGGCTTATGTTGATGTCATGCTTACAACTACACTTCCACCTCCATTCTGTATTTTCTCGATTTTCACGGGAATGCGACCAGTGGTCGAGTATATGAAAATACTAATTAAACCACCACCTGGCAAACGGGCACGATGGGACTTTATAAATTGTTGCTACATAGTCAGTATATTACTAAATCCTAACTGAATATCACGAAGCAAAAGTACACTTTGCATCGAGCAATCCTTTGTTTCTCTTCATGGCATTTCATTTGTATTTTATTAAAGTATTTATTTATAAACATCAATGTTTTCACACACGATCGATTTATGATCAATAAATAAAAGCAGAGACGTACGTTTTGATTTATTTATTCAATCTATATTCCGTTGCAGGAGGATCTGGAAGAAAAAAAGGACAATCAATTCGCAGAAACCATGACGCAACTGGTGCAACGTTACCTCCGTCAACGCGAAAAGAAAGCAGAAGAAACGGACGTGCAAAGGCTAAGAAAAGAATTGATAGAATTCAGCAATATTCTGAAAGAGGCTCTTAGTCCATCTTAAAAGATATTTCATTGATATTTCATCTCAAAGAAATATTTCTATATTCGCACCTTTATATTAATTTTTTAATTCTTTGCACAGTATGTGTCAGAAAGCGTGATAAGATCTCAATATCTGTAACAAAGATTAATAGTTTTTTACTGTATAGAAAATAAGAAATACTTTTTGTCAGCACACAATTTTACTAAAATTTTTAGTAAAATGTGCCGTTTTTTTATCTCTCTCGGAACTGCTACAATTCTGGAAACGTCTGGGCTTGCAATTTATAAATTTCGCGCATAGTTCGCGTAGCGAAGAATGTTATTTTTACAACATCTTTTTGCATTGTGAGGGATTGCAAAGCTTCGACCCCAGATACCAGTGTTCGACCCTTCATCATAAAATTCCCCGGGTGACGAGGCTGAAAATACATATGTCGGACATCTATATTTATATGAAAAAAAAAACACGATCTCTTATATCCCGATATCCATCACGTTTACTCGAAATGTAACTCTACGTGCGTCTTAATGTAAATATTATGTACAATGTTCAGGTCCTACGTTATTTAGTTCTTTCTCGTCCGCAATGTTTCTTTTCTCAAATACCTTACGTCCTCTAGGCGACGTGGATTCGGCTTGTTATTTCGTTTTTATTTTGATGGTAGCGAAGAGCATACATCCGAGCTGGGTAAAACTCGAGTAGATATACGGATGATCATTTGATCGAGCGAAAGTATCTTGTACATATTTAAATTTAAATGTTCTCGGAATCTAAAAATATTTAAAGCAAAAAATTTTAATGCCCAAATATTTAAAGGGTGCTCTTTGAAATAATTACAATTATAAAAATTAAGTGTAGAATAAACGGGATATTAATTATAGCAAGGGAAAGGGAAGATTAAGAAACAATATACGCAGAAGTTTGATCGTGTATACGTATATTCATATATGTTATTTGTATAATCAGATTTACATGCATATACATATATACACTATATGCCATTCGTTTATCGCAAAGTGTTGCAATAAGATTTGGTAAAAATATTCGACATCAGTTGTTGATAATGACACTATATTGTACCTATCGGATGTATATAAAATAAACTTTTATTCATATTTCCCATGCATTATACTGTGATGCATGCAACGCACGTCTCTTTTGGTAACTTATTATTAAACGTCCGAAGATCTCAATTTATGGAAGATTATCATTTCACACGTATCTTCACAAACTACAACAAGATGCTAATTATACACAAACTGGAGGATATCTATATTAGATAACTCACGCAAAACTTAAAAAAGTATACATAAAAGTAATACGTAGATTTTCTCAAGATTGTATGTATATAAACTAAACATTGCAGTAATAAAAATGCAATCAGAAAACCATCAATGTTTCTCATTTTAATCCAAACTTGTTTCAATTTCGCTTGTTTTGGGTTGTTGAGAACCTGCTCTATCGTCAACCAAATGAAAAAACTAAGAGATATATATACTCTTTGTTTTATAAACTTGATTTTATATCTAGATGTTACATAGTACGTCATGTCAATTTTCCTCTTATAGACATATAAGGATCTAACGAATTCTTCTGAAGGACATTGTGCAACGAGTACCTTTCTCAAAGATGCAGACTTGACTAGCTGATTTGATTGTTAGCGATTGTGAACTCTCGTAGTACTGAGAGTACTACTTGGCGTAGAGTCTAGGAAATTAATAATAATGACATTTATCAACTTTCATGCATTTAAGAAAATAAAATGGAGAACGAGCAAAAGATATAGTTGTTTACCTGAGGTTTACAATGTTCCTCCAACCAACTGAACACGCAACCAGATAATTCCGTAAAGTTAGCTACAGAAATATTAAACGTTTCGAAAAGGCGATTCATTATTGCCTCGAACTGCAACACAATCATACAATACAAATCATATAATTATAAGGGATCATATAATTGCGATAATTTCAAAAAGAAAAAACTATTTTCCTTACCACTCGAAACTTCATCTCGTCCGAGACACGCATTTCCGTGTGTCCTGGCTGCGTCTGCTGTGCTTTGACAATCTGCTCGTAATTTGCCTGCATAATGCGTAACGCAACGACTTCCTTTCTCAGTGCATTACGCTCGTCCTCTTGCTTCTTCTTCTGTTGCAACAGAAACTGTATGTAATCGATAGATTTTTGAAGCACCGTAGCCTTGGAAATCTTATAGCCCGAGGAGTCCGTATGCTGGCAGGTCGGTACCAAATCCTGAAGAGAATCGTAACCTTTCTTGATAGCGTCCCGCCTCTTCTGCTCAGCCTGCGTGTGTGCCTCTCTCCTACGCTCTTTGTAGCTTATAGTGGAATTCTTGTTATCGCTATCTTCATCCTCTGAACAACATATCGTTCATTGATTATTATCCATTCGCGATATAGAATATCTGTCAGTGCAAAAAACGTGCGCTTACCTGTATTATGAGCGGATGAAGACGGCGTGTTAACCGATCCTGTACTACTACAACGGGAAAAAGTGTACTTCTCTGTAGGACTGGACGGCTCCAGCTTCATGTCACTGTCCGATCCCATATTACCACTGCTAGCACGCATCGTTAAGCTAGCTGCTTTCAAAAAACAAATGCACAATACATTTGAGTTGAAGTACGTGATATTGATTATTAAAGATAGAAAAAAATATGGAATTTAATAATGTTAAAACTAATAATTATATATATATACAGTTATTGTATCTTAAAAATGAAGATGTGTCAAGTAAACCTAAATGGACAGGATTAAATGAATAAAATATGTTAGATGTGACTGTACACAGAAAAAAAACATACTTAAAAATTTTTATAAATAGAAATTATCTTAAAAAGCTTGCGTTATTATAAATTTTTCTTTTCTGAGACGACAAATAATACAAGAGTGATCTACATTACTTACGTTTTGCTGCTTTATTCGTTCAAGTGAATGCGCAGTCTTATTAGTACTGAGGCTTATCAGCATTATATGATAAATGAAGGTTATATAACAACGTAGCGGTCACAGAGTCAGATCTCTTTGAATGCGACAATGTATAGAATATTTACTGTTAAGACTTGAGCCACCTCTCTTTCCTTGCATTTCGTTTGGCACTTTTTTCTATTTTTTTCCCAAATCCTTTACATGTACCTACTATCTGATTTTGTGCCTGCTTTTTTTTACATTTTACAATCTTAATATTAAAGCAATTTTTTATATTTCTTTCGCAATTAAAAAATTATTTTTCTATTATTGTTTTGTTCACATTTCTTGAAGACATACTCTTATTTTGAAATAAAAAATTATAGGTACGCCTATAAGCATGCAACTAAAAATAAATCAGAAGGTACTAGGTAGTGTTTGCAAACGGCTAAACTCCACATAACGACATAACTGACATAACAACGTATACTGTATGTATGTAAACACGAAGCTGCTGCCAAAGCAATCACGTGGTCGGTTGCGCAGATTCAACTGCGCACAAAAAAAACTTAGGTAGTGGGAGACACCTCCCCCCCCCCTTCGCGATATCCCCAAGCAACAAGGCTGCGTTCAAAACGGTTATGCAACTGCGTCAAGAGTGAATATCAGGATGCATTCAAGAAGCATGAAGTTGAAACGTCGTCGGGTTGAACTTTGAACCTTCTCCCGAACGCACCATGATCGCCGAGTGGAATCGTCGATCGCTCTCCGCTCGGAGTTGCGTGTTATTTCACAACCCTCCGAACCGAACGCGACTGTTGTGTTGTTGTTGTTGTTCCCGAGTGTAGGAAGTGCAGGACAGCGCAGGCGCAGGCAGGGGTAACCAGGAGCCAGGAGCAGGAGCAAGCGTTCTGAAGATCGTACGACGGGAGAGAACAATAGGAAGGAGAGCTTTGTTTCTTTTTTTTTTTCTCTCTCTATTTACTTACGGTTCTCGTATCCGTCCTTGTGTACTGAATCTGCCATGATTGGTCTGGCGCGACACCGACTATTTCTCGCTGAAGGGACAGAGAATCCAAGACGCGCACGTGAAACGCGGTTATAATCGAGAGTCGAGGGACGATCGTATGACGGATCGACTCCGAGATAACATCGGATTCACATGCGTTGAGAAGAAAAATTTGGAATTGTCAAGGCACATCGGACCGCACCAGATTACTCGGTCACACCCGGTACCCGATCACGACACCGCGAACGATCTCGACGTGTTTGTCTCGTAACGATATCTTTGCGTGGTCTCTACTCTCTACCATCTTGGACGGAAATGGAAACACTAGGGAATAACGCTAGTTCCTTTCAGCCGCGCTACGTTGCACCTTCTGCGCTCAGGTTGAAACATGGAACGATTGGAACGAGCGCGAGCGCACGGTCAATTGAAGGCAATTGAAGGGGTGAAAGAGAATAGAGCGCAAAAGAAAGAATACTGATGTATTTGCTCGTCTTATGTCCATTTTTCTCAATGTAGATTGACTTTAATCTCAATTTAACTTACTTTTCATCTTTTTCTAATTTTTGGAACTAGACAGAAATAAAAAATTAAATCAAATCAAGACTAAAGTTAATTTACATTGATAGAGATGGACATTACTCGCATATCTCCCCCGCGTTTTTCTTCTTTTTCCCTCCAGAGCTGAAATGAGCTTATTTCATGTTAAAAATGAAAAGCGCTTTGATTGTGTTAACAAAACTGTTATAATGAATTTCACATCTCATTAGCAAATTTGAAAGAAAATTTTTCTTAGTTGTAATAATCGTTTGATCTACTCGAATTCTACAGATATTAATAAAATTAAGAAAGCATAAAACCATTCATTCCATCCCCGAGCAACTATAATTTCATGGTTCTTTACTATTATTTCATAAATTTATATACATGTAAAATATATATTATATATAGATATATTGTTTGATAAAACGTATGGCTTTGAAATTACTTCATGATTATTCATTAAGAGTATTAATATACATAATACTCATAGAATTAATGACATTAATAAAACATGATTAATAATTAATAAAACTAGATTGAACTGGTGCAAAAAGATGTCGTGTTATCAAACTTATTGTCTGTTGTGTTAAAAGAAAATTAAATCAAAATAAGCGAGGATTTAAAATGTTTTGAGAACTACAATGCGTCGATAAAAAAAATTATAAGTAAACTTTGAGAAATGTTCGGCATGTATCGGACCACGCGGATCAATAAGATCAATTTGCATTTTGTTACGAGTGACAATCAAAATTCGGTAAAGTCACAATTGTTGATATGTGTATAATGTTCAACAATATAATAAAATAATTAAGTTAGAAATTAATTTTTAGCTCTCCGAGTAATGCGCGCGTGATAGACTGAAGTTAGAACGTTATAGATATGTTAAATTATGTTTATTATAAGGTGTATCTAATATATATATTTACAATCGCTTTAATACACGTAAAACCATTTAAGATAATATATCCGTTATTCCTCGGCGTTACCGCGCACCTCGCCGTAACGCTGGCAAATTGTGTTCCTACATCGTCGTTTTTTTTTGTCTCCGTGAAGTGTACACGATTTCGGTATCATCATGGGTATTTGTCTATTGTGTACCTGAGGCAAGGACCGTTGCTTGCATTAAATACGCTTGCAGATAGCAAGGCTTCGGGGTGGAGCGAGTAATTCCACGATATATGTATATATATGTATAAATATATATATACACATATACATATATATATCCTTCTTTCCTCCCATTCGTTTCCCTTCCCCTCCCCCGCGCGCGCGCACAGCACTTCTCTACCGTCTAGAAAAATTATTCTACTCCTAATTCGCATATTCACTGTTATACTCGATCGTACGTCTAACTTAGATCCATAATATGCGTAGTACACGGTTCTACATTTGTATCGTTTCGGGGACGGATTATGTCGGAAAGCCGAGAAAGAGAGAGGAGCGTGAACTGTTTGAGACGGTGTCGTGTAGAAGACGCCGTCGAAGGTGTTATATTATATGTAATATATCATGTATTATATTACATATAATATGTGTGTATATGTGAGGTATGTTTATGTTTAGACTGAATTGCACCGAGACGGTCTCAGTCGACCAACTCAGTCTGGTTGGCGATTCTCTGTTCCCTTTTTCCACATATTATATTCATTATGAAAGAAAGATATTTCAGTTAGCTAAAATCATATAAAATCATACGCTAATGTCGCATTCTCAATTTAACTTTTGATTCGCATTGACTATTCAGATTGATAACTTGCCGTTCCTCTTACAATTAGTGTTAAAAAGAGGAATGCAAAATCGAGAGATATTGTAGTCACCTGTAGAATAATTAAAGGAAAGGAGTATCGATCACAATTACAGAGAAAACAAGTTTGGTCATCAGCCAACCAGAATTAGCATCAACTGACATTGATGCAATTCGCCGCTGTAGCCGTCGATCCTGGATCTACATGTTCGTTCTTATAAGGGCCCGAATGACGAAATAGAGTCTCGATGCGAATTTCCGGATAGTCTCGTCCTACGGATGTCCGTGATACACGTCGCCGCTGGTTCGCGAGCGACGTTCTGCAAGTGAACGTACAAGCATTTCGAAATTTCCGACACGTACGATTTGGCTATGCCCGCCCCCGCAATGCGCTATTCAACGTAACGTAAACATTAAGTGAAGTTTTACATGTTCGTTCGCAGCCAGAAACGTCCCACGTGTATTTTATATATTTTTCGGATAAAGGTCACTTTCCCGCGGTTAAATCGATAAAGCATCACATCGTAAATTCTCGTCAAAGTTCAAATTTAGTATATTATCTTCATACATATCACACATTCACCTCACACACGTATGCGCACCGCAACGTTCTCCCATTATATTCACACCCTAAGTTATCTCTGCTTTTCTTTTTCTCTAATTTCCTTTTGACATCGATAAAAAATTATATATATATATATATATATATATTTATATATATTTTTTTCATATATATTTCAATTATTTTATCGTTAATTAATTAATTGTTCAATTAATTAATTAATCGTTATATCTTATTGTTCCATTAAAGTTAAACTAAAGTGTTCTGCGTGTGGTATGCGCACCTCTGGCAAGTACCACTCAAATATATATACATACATATATATGTATATACATATATACGTACGTTTAAACGCATATATATATAAATATATATATAAAGATATATGTACGTATATATTTGTAATATATAAAGTATTCACTTATATATTTATCTGTATTTTCCATTTTTCTTTTATAAGTATCATCATGAATAACTCACAATATCTAACTACGCTGCTTTGAGATTAATTGGGTAATCGGTGCAAATAAGACATTAATTGCTCCTACTGTACCAATAATTGTTTATCGCGCAAGGTAAACCATCAGACTTCCGGAGCCGATTGCAAATATCCTTGATTGTTATAATTTATAAACGTGAACGTCCACCATTTTAAATTTGGAACATGTTCTAATAAATACAAATTTCTGTCAATTTTTATTCATAACAAAACTTCATTTTTTTCCGTATAATATACAAAAATAGCATGATACCCAATTTTTTATCTAAATAGAATCATTCCTATAAATAATTATCTAGTTCTATTAATATTGCAATGTGTACGCCATTTCGTAATTGTTTTGGTAAAATGGCGCATTCATAAAAATAAACTAACACCCTTTCAGGTATCCATCAACATTTTGCTCTTTCGCATACGATGTAAATTCTTTTCAGATATTTTCTGGTTGTTTCGCGTCTTAATACTGGGATGATACTTTTATCATAAAATTTTTTTGATTTTATCCAGCCACACGAATTCATATAATCTAAGTATGTGAACATTGACACAAATAATAGAGCTGGACGATAAAATATTTAATGATTGTAAAAGAATCAATTTTCTAATACAAACAAGCATAACTAATCAAAACGAATTGATATGGTTATTGGTTGTATTTGCAGTACCTGGACGAACTGTCGTAATCTCCCAGATATTTTCCCAGATACCTTTTAATCGATATCGCGAAATTAAATTTACTAGAGACTCTATCTCAAAATTTGTATGCAAAGTACCACAAGCTATGTTGTGTCATAACGCGATCCAAATACTCGAATAAATTTACAACTACTTTCCGAAAATTACTTGGTTTAGATCAATTCAATTTATGGAGAATACGATCCAAAAAAATTCTCAAATTTACAATTTTCTAAAAATTACTTGGTATGTACCAATTTGATTTATATAGGTTGCTTTATGAAATTTCAATGCTGTCTCCATTCCCGTATTATTTCATTCGATCAAAATGTTGAAGACGCGATTTTCAATCAACATTCTAGCAAGGATACATTATTTTTAAAAATAAGACTGTACATTTTTGATCGAAGAGCAAAATGGAAGGCAAAGTGCCCGTCGCCACGACATTACTTAGTACGTTCTCTCGTACGATACCGCTGTTAAATGCATGACAAAAACAAACATGACAGACAGGATTTTAACCTTCTATCATCTTCAAGTGTACCGCGGCAATGACAATGAAAAAACAAATGAATTCTAATAAGCATTTGAGAAAGTATAATTAGACGTTGCTTTACGAGCAAAGCGAATGATCGGCTAGGCTTCTTTAGAATATTCATCAATGTGCGCCATGTGCCGGCGACGTTAAGTCCAAGAAATAATCGCAAAACCAACTAGCGATGAAAATCGCGGCGGCTAAAATTTTCAAAACGAGGTTCGTTGCGCGAGATGCAGGACGTTCGGTGAGGAATTTTGTACTCTTCTAAGATCATATCGGCTTGCTGACATAAAGAAACGCGCGTAAACCATCATAGAAAGTCCCCTATCTTCGGAAACTCATTAAACTGGTTGAATATTTGTACCATGATCAGTGTTATCAATTTATATCTTTGAGCGCTTAGCCTGACGAGACTTGGCAGTGCGACGTGATTTTTTCGCGGCATCGCCCGACGTTTCCTCTGCGGTAGATCTCCGTTTGAAGGATATCGAAGGCACGGGAGCCTTGGGGGGTGCCATGTCCACCGTCGGAGTCGACGGAGATTGCGTAACTACAGATTGCTGTATCACCTCGGTGGGACTGTGGGCATCCGCGATCGGAATAAAGTCGTGCCCTTCGCCAAACGCATCCGGTAGCACTCCCTGATTGGCTAAAGCTTGTAAATCCTCGGTAGGGACTGGCATTGACTGGCCACAACCTACGCACACTGGTATTGCTGGTGACTTGGATCGCCAATATTGTAGTTCGGTTTTACACTTGTTCAATTCCTAGAAAAAAAAAAAGTGTATCTATAAGATGGGGAAATATAGATTTCTGTACTCAATTGAGAGTAAAAAAAACCAATTTACAATCCTACAATTTGTAAGATTAAGCTATAAAGCAAACCTTATATATAATAAATTAAATATTCATCTTTATTTCAAATTCCTGAAATATATCTGGATAAATACCTGTAGGAGTGTGCTGAATTTCCGCGACGTCTCTTCATTCTTTTTGTCGTTATCATCCAATCGAGTAGCGTACTCCACAATTTGTTTCTGTTGATCCGCAATTTTCGCCTTGCAACTCTTCAAATCCCTGCGCATCAATGTTAGCTGACTGTTGTACCGTCTCATGCCCTGTTTGATCTTGCGAATCCGTTTTCGCAAAACCATATTCGATTGCGGTGGTGACACATTGGACTCCAAAAGAGCAGGATCGTCTGAACAATGCGACAAAGAACCTTCTTCTTCTCCAGTATTGCCCGTTTTTCCATTTCCGACGGTCAGGGGCGCGGAATCCAGGCACATAAATGGTTTACTCACGCTACTAGAAGCTGCGACAACAACGTGCCATCAATAAAATTCTATTACGAAAATATAGAAAAGTATTGAACCATTTGCTTCACTTACAGGAGAAGGTTCCTGCAAGATCCAGAAAATCGGCACCGAAGTAAGGAATTTCTGGTAATGTTGGTTCAATGTGCTCTTTGAAATATTCCATAGCCATAGTACTCAGATCAAACAATTCGTCTGTGACTTTGTAAGGTCTTTGTAATTTCGGAGTAACTTTTATGTAATAGAGAATGCGATAAACTTCGTCTAAGATCTGTAAAACGGAAACAGGATTTTTACTTCTGTTTCTCTACTATTGGGGATTTAAACGTAATTATATATATACCTCGCCGGGAAAGAAGCAGCAATGCTTCCGTTCAATGTGCTTGCCGAAACTCATTTGCAGCAAGGTGAGCCGCATATGCAGAGTTTCTATAATATCCGACTCGCACGCTAACGGATGATTCCGACGCGCGGACTCGCGTCTGGGCATTTGCGCTTTGATAGCCTGAAAACGGCTCAACATTTGAGCTTGTAGCTTTTGAAACGTAGAGTTCAGTATTGATCCACAAATGCGATCCAGTTGATGGCAAACCTATGGGACGAATGGGAGGTTTGCTACAGCACGTCACGTGGGAGAAATGAACTGACTTCACTTAGAATTTAGTGATACTTACCAGACGCATATGGGCTACCATATTGAAGCCTAGATAGCCGAAGATTTTCTCAAGGATCTCGACAGGTAAATCCAGGAGATTCAGGTTGCGTGATTCAATGGTGGCCCCATTGTTAGACGTGCCAGCCGTTACTGAATGGTGCTTTTTCAACGAGTTTACTTCTACTTCACCAACTGGTCCACTGCCACCGCTGCTTCCCATGTTACTCGACTGACGTGTCGACACCATCTTTTTTGTTTTTCAATAAGTGAGTTTATCCAAAATCTGAAGCGAAACAGGCAATGTTTTTCACAATAAACAGTAATAATACATATATAGACATGTTACATAAATATATGTAACACAATCAGAATTAGATAAACGGATATACTGTGTGCGTACGTAATTTAACATTTTCATATTCTCACGTATTTTCACAAGTTTTAAGAGATTGCAAGTTAGCAAGTGTTTTATAATGAAAAAAAATTCTTTTAACATATTTTCAAGATTAGCATATTTACAGCGGCAAGATGTAGTATAAGTACACTCTAATAAATAATATTTAACAATAATTTTTATAATTTCTAGAAAGAAATATCAATAGATATATTTATTGGCGCTTCTCTGCTTAGTAAAGAATGCTATAAGCGATTATTATTGTACGTTGCGATTCACGGACTCCAAATATAAAGAATGACATAGGTTAATCATTTTAAGTACACTCTCCGTAATGTATTCGTGTCACTAAAGCGTTTTATTTTTTTCCCACAATGAACAATGAAGTTTACGCGAGCTACTTCCTCTTCCCGCAGAACTTGTTTAAATACCAAACCCTGGCTGCAAGTCAACGAACTTGCTTCAGCGAGCATCTATCGAGGGTCCGAAAGTCCGAAGACCATTACACGAACGTGTATTGTGCAAGCACTCCAGACACAAATCCAGACAAATAGTCGAAGAAATATAACCAGACGGATCGCGCGGAGCAGCACCGATGACACTCCAAATTAGAACGACGCGTCTTACGTGAGCGGAAACGCGCTCTTCGTTGCGAAATTCATTCTGATGAGGCGTTTTCGCCGTCGCAGCGGAATTATTCGTACCTAGGACGATCGCGCGAATCACCCGCACGTTGCGAGTGCCTCGGGTTCCCCGAGGTCTATCGGGGTCACACAATCCCGTTCCCGTCGAGAAACGGAATATATCCAACGTCTAGAATCTGACGATCGGCAGGAAATTCGGAGGCAGACGGAGACTTTGGAAAAGGTGAACGGCACTGTGCGCGATGTGCGAGTCGCGCGCGCGTTGCGTAAACAAGATGCTGAGCGATGGTTACTCGGGTTCTCACTGATCACCGCACTCGAATCAAGTCCATCTCCTCGGGTCGCGTCGGCATCGCACGGCGGAACCGTGCTCGAGCACGGACTTTCGATTTTCCGACGATCGTACGTGGTCACTCTGACGTAGACGGGAACGGAAAGAGAGCCGGTCGTCGACCGAAATCAGGCTCACCCTCGGGCGGCGACGACTCCGTCTGGCTCGTGCGTGTCCCGCGTGTCCGTCCCGATCGCCAGATCGGAGCCGACGATCCGACGTGGACGTCGTAAACGTAAACGCCAAACGTGTCGGAGTCGGAGTCGGAGTCGGAGTCCAAGTCGGAGTACGGCTGAAACCGCGGCCAACTCTATCAATCCAGGCCGGATCGGTACGAAGACGAGCGTTTAACGGTCGCGGGAAGAGGTTCGCGCGGCGTCGCGGGGTGCCGAGGGGGGACCGGGGGCAAGGGGGCGGAGAAGGGGGAGGGAAGGAGACCGAGCCGCGGCGCGAACAAAAGGTCGGAGTCGAGTTAGGTGTCGAGCGCGACGAGCCGATTTCACCGTGAATGCAGCAGAGGGTTCGCTGCCCCCCGCGCGTCGTCGTCGCGCGGAAGCGAAGGAGGCTGGGGGGCCCTCTCTCCCGCTCTCCGCGATCGCCAGTACCTGGAGCGTGATATCGACTTCGGAAGCCTCACTCGCGAGATCGAGGTGTCTACTGTCTTCCCCGGAACCTGTCGCCCTTGTAAGGGAAACCGAGGAAACGGGGGACGGGGACGGAGACGGCGACGGCGAGAAGGCGAGAGGAAAGAGGGATCCCGCCACCGAAGACGAGAGGCGAGACGCGAACGACGACGCGCGTAGAGAAACAAATGTGGAGAAACAAACCGGGTGACTTGTGCGCGCGAGTAATCGATGCACCCGCGATCTTCTCTTTCTCCTCGCTACAAGACCGCTAGAGCCGCCTGGCTCTGGCCGAGAACGAGATCGGGCAGATAGAGAGGGAGAGGGGGGCGAGGGGGAGAGAGAGAGAGAGGGAGAGAGAAGGGGAGGAGAAAGAGAACGAGGCTCGAGGGCTCGGAGGCTCGAAGGGAGACGTCGAGACGACGAGTGCCCCGAGTTAGACGAGCGGCAACATCACTGTATCCGCGTTGGCGTTTTCAGCGACATTTTGACGGAGAGACTTCCCCGCCTCTCCTCCCCACCCCCCCCTACAAGCTACTCCCCGCTGCCGCGTTCGTTCTCGCTTCGTTTTACTGCCGAGCTTACACACACACACACGCACACTCTCTCTCCCTCTCTCTTTCGCTCGCTCCTTTTACGTTCGTGATCGCTCCTTCGTCGTTTTCCTTTTTTTCGTCTTTCTCGTTCGTTCGCTCGTTTACTTACTCACTCACTTACTCTTTCTCACTCTCTCTCTCTCTCTCTCGCCCGTTAAAAGCCCCGTGCAATTATGGCGCGGTTACACATAATCCCACAACCGAGAAAAAAATCGCCACTCCTCCCGCGGATAAACAGCTTTTCCCCAGTCCATTTTACCTGCTCCAGCTAGCTGTCCTGGCCGCGCGCATCCACGGGCACCCCACACTGCCCCGCAGCACCGAGCACGTAGCTGTCGTAGCTCGCGTAGTAGCGAGTAGCGGCTCGGGGAACCGAGCTCTTTCTCCGTCTCTCTCCCTCCTACCCCGCTCTCCCTCCGTCCCTTCGCGAACGTATCGAAAATAAATGTTGTCACTGGCCGAGACGAGCAGGACGAGCTGTTGCTGTTGCTGGCTCCTCGCGAGTCGCGGGCACGCGAATGTCGCGAATATCGCGGACGGCGATGGCACGCGGGCACCGCGGCGCAGCGCACACCCGGGTTCCGCTTCCGCGGCGCGCGGCCGTTGCTACGCTCCAAAGCGGCGTACCGGGGGGGCACAACGCCGACGTCGTCGACGGCGGGCAACGGCGGCGCGGAGATGCGCACATACGTATTACCGCGGCGAGAATACGCGCTCGCGCTCGCGCGACGCGACACACACCACACCACACCACCACACACGCTCCCGCTTTGACGCGCGCCGCGCCACACCGCGTACCGCGTGCGAACGTGCCACAACTGCCACACACGACCCACAACCGCACGCGTGCGCCAGGGGCCTTCTGATTGGTCGTCGCAACCAGTCGCGACGGTCGCGGCCGCGGCCGCGGACCAGTCCGCGTCGTCCGCGAGCCGCCTGAACGTAGCGACGCGAGCGGATAACCGCGATGCGCGCGCCGATCGAAATCCTAGGGGCTTTTCGACCGCCGCGCTGGGGGCATTTCCTTGTCGCGCGACGCCCGCGCAATCTGAACGTTGTCGCGAACTCACGACTACTCACGACCGACGACGCCGACGGACGGAACGTGGCGAACGCGGGAGGGAGAATGACGGGAATGACGACGATGACGACGTTACTGAATTTCCTGAATGCTCTTCTCCTCCCCGAACTCCGTAGTTTTTACAGAACGATTCAGTTGCGCTTGCGACTTGCGACATCGTCGACGTTACGCAAGCGTGCGCGTATGTTTCTTTTCGAATCTCGAAGCGAAATTTAAATTGTATTCTTTTGAACTTTGGCCCGTACCGTATTCATAGTTCGTTCTTATTTCAAGACTGTCGTAAGATAATGTCTTAAAGATGCTTAATTTTACGATTCTGTTATTGGTTTAAAACATCTTAAGATTGTATACTTAAGATTGTCTTAAAATATAAGATCGGATTATGAGTACTGGGCCTCCTATGAGTCCATGTAACACTTTCAGATCGTGTTTAAAGCCTGATGGAATCTGGGATCTGGGGGTCGTTATCGTCCTTAATTTATTTAACTTTTTACAGCGTGCCATTGAGAGTCATATAATAATTACGACTCGATAATTGAAACTATAAACGGATATAATATTTCAGTCATCGGATTAACGCGGCGCGGTTTTGATAGCTTTTGTTGTATAACGTGTATAGGTTGATGAACTTTCGACGATTACGTTTCTACAGAGTTTTCGCCACAAGAGAGATAACGTCTTATCTTTGCTGAATACGCGAATTAATAAATGAACGAAGTAATGAACCTACGTGAAAATGCATTTAATTTAATTACTTGGCGATACACATAATATACATAATATTAATATTTATGTAACGCGTTACGAGAGAAATAATTTCTGTATAGCGAGACAAAATCGCGTGTTAATTCGACGAGTAAGCTGATTGCATCTCACAGTAAATTAAATGCCGTATAAAATACATAAATATAATGACGAGAGAGAGACACTCGAAACAGTTGTAATTATTGTCTTCATCACCTTCCCATTTGTATAGGCGAACAACAGGTTACATCGTGCACACCAAGCACCATGACGATGATACGCGGCGTCGACATAATCGAGTAACCAGAACCACAAATTGCGAGCTGTATCGCACGCATTTACCTTTACCCGATTGTTATCTCAATTTCTGGCGTTGTGCAATCGACAAACAATAGCTGAGCGGCGAGCGGCAACATTACGCCTCCGTCGTTCATTCCGGCGCTGCATTGTTAAGCGTGGCCACTTACGTTAATTTTCCAGAATTTCTAGCAGCGATATCTCGTCCCAACGTTATAACGCACGAATCCTAATGAGCGTGACACTTGGCGTCGCACGCGCATCGGCTGACGGCTGATCTAGCTTTTATCATCATGCATTGCAGGCATAATATGCGCAATTCGGTCACATATAACGCGTTTGTCCTGCAGCCAGTCCAGAATTAAAGTCAACGTGCACGAAACGCGAATGCCAAATCGATCTCGAGGAGAAAACACTTGAATCATTCCTTGATTCCGCGCGATCGATCATTTCTTACGTAATGTACCGTTACCCGGTGCGCGAACGTATTGTTCTCGATACAGATATTTCAATAGAGCGAGAACCTGGAAAAATTCCGTCTCCGATCGTGCTTTTTTGCATCAATCTCGCTCGATCCGTCCTCGCTCGCGGAGATTTCTATTATACATCCACCGCCGTTTATTATGGTGAAACGCTTGCGAAATCGAACGCGTTGCCCGACAGTCTCGATGAAATTCTTGTCTGTAACACTTAAGTATCGCCCGAGTCGACAATATTTCGCGCGATATTTCGATGTTTTCTCGGAAGAGAGCGAAATATTAAACCTAATTACCTAAACAGATATTTTTTTTTTATCTATACGTGAAAATGATATATAAACTGGCGTGTATGCGTAAAATAAGGTCGAGTACAACATTAACATTTATACTCGACCTTATTTTACGCGTAATTATCTAATGCACTTTCCGCATTTTGTTTTTACGTATTTCAGTGTACTGTGTTTTTTTTTTTCAGAAGCTACATTGCGCTAAAAGATTTTCTCGTGATTGAAAATTAGAGATGATGTATATATTGTATATATAATGCGAACCGTAAGGATATAATAATTAGTCTTTCGTTGATAGAATCCGACGATAAAAGAACGTCGTTTTCCTCATTACGTTATTGATAAAAACAGGATGTTATTAATCTTTCAATAGCCAATTTGAGAAATGAGATCGCGACGTATATAACAAATCTGCCGGGGATTACGGTCGTTGGGTCGGATTGCGCCGGAGAAAACCGCAGAGAATAATTTTCGCGAAACGGAAGTCGAGGAATACCGAAAAGCGCGACGGGAGCGCGTAGGAAGGTACCGTAAGTTATTCATCACATATCGCCGGATATATTCACGAGATTTCCGCCTGTCTAGCTAGTCAAACGGACTGCTAAATACTAAATAACACAGCAAACACTAACGGGCTACATTGCTTGATATTAAACGCGTGCAAAGTTGCACTCGTGAAACATATACGTCTATACAGAGCGTTAAATATATCGTAAGATTTGCTCAAGCGAGGACCTCGCATCTGATTGCCAAACTTTTAAGCGTTCCTCGCCGTTCATTTTTTTTGCTCCGAAAAATTTAAGTTGCATTGCCAAATTTATCCATTAAAAAATGTAATAAGAATAATATTTTAATATATAATTGTTTGAAAGAAATTAAAAGAATTACTCTTAACAATTTACCTTTTCATTGAAAAATATAAAATAATTCCAATGCAGAGATTACTCGCGAAAAACTGAGCGCATATTTTTAAAATTCCGAGTCTTTGGAAGCCTTTAATATGACAAAAAGAAGGGGAACGAGGAGAAGCAGACATATAGACGTAGTTTTAAAAGTTAAACATACTTATTATCAGAATAATAGGAGTGATAGATTTGTACAATAACAAGCTTTTAAGCTGCCCATAATTTTCGAGCTAAATCGCGAATCACTGTATACATGCAGTACAAAGGATTTGAGCAATCAGCCCGCGATTTGCCAGTTTGATTATCAAAAGCAAGCGGATTTATGCCAGTCGTTATTTACGTCGCCTATTTTTTTTATCTATTGTAGTTTTCAAGGTCGCATCTCGAAATCATTACTCGCCGTGTTGATTTCGTAGATCGTCATGAAACAAATCGTGTTCTTCCCTCTTCGCTGTCGACGCGACGACGCAAAGTCAATCGCACGTCGCGAAATAGAAGCGGCGAACTCTTATTTAACATGGTCGACCGAGCCGGCAGTACTCAGTCTACCACCGGCCGTAATACAGAAATATTCGCATTACCTCGCTGATTCCTCGACGAATCGGCGAGTCGTTGGGAGTGCCGCGAGATTTCATGGTGTACGCGCTGACGGGGTGAACGATCATGGTGCTTTCGGTCGTTTATCTCGGCCTCCTCCTCCTATCGGGTGAGTCTCCGCTTGAACCTTCGGCACGATCACTTTGGAACAGCTCCTCGCTCCTCTGCATAAACCTAACGTCGCTCGAAGATGCTTCTTCAAGCTGTTGTTCTCAGACATGTTGTTCTTTGCGGATTGTAGAATTGCAGATTCGCTAATCTTAAATATTCATGCGGTATTAAAATACAAAAATACCATGGCATTTGCGTTTTGACTTTAGAAATAAGATTTTAAAAATAAGATATCAGATAAGATATTAGTACTTTATAGTCGTTTTAATGATTACACAGAATAATATCATAAAACTGTTGAACATAAAATTGATGTTGTTTTATACGTAGAGGTCGTATCAAGTTCTTGTTAAATATTGTAGAAAAATATTTGTATGTCTGTTTGACTGACAATGAGTTGCGATGATTATTTGTTAGTAACAAAGAAAATATTAAAATCACGACATTAGCTTCAACGAGAGATTATGAAGACAATGATAATGAAGACAATAATAAAATTATCCGATGTTTCCTGCAAGCTTGTCATATGTGAATCTCGCGATTGAAAATATTGTGTCTCGATAACAAGCAATAATGTATAACTTACCAAAATCATCATGCTACAGACGTATTTTTATTTTCGAGTACAATAAAATGTGATTCAGCTACACGCGAGTAAAACGAAATAAAACAAATAAATTATCTGCCTCATTAAGTCGATTAATGTATATATCAGACACGTGACTTAAATTTCAACTACAATACCCGAATAGTATTATTAAGAGATGAATGTTTAGTGCACATGATGAAGTGCATTAATACATTGAAATTATTGCTGAAGATGACCGCAAAACATCATACAGAGAATACAGGACGTGCGATTAAGATGCCAATTATAATTTTATCAACAGAGATTCTGCTATATGTAACAGAGCTCAATAATAATTTAATTTAGCAGGTATTTTCGCAAGTTTCCGTTTCCAATACTTCAATATGTATTTCAATATTGTATGAACGCTATGTCAAACTGTAGAAACAATCGTTATAACTAATGATACAAATATAATGATCATCGTGCAAAAGTGATGAGCGTAATTTGACGGATTATTCTCGTGACACACGTCAGGCGAATCATTATGTTAAGTTAAATCACCACAAATAAATGTAGTTGTATATGTATCCCATGCATCATCCGATCGAGTAATTTTACATATTGAATGCAGAAAACTCTCTTCAACAGTCTTGAACAGAATTATGTATTATTGCGTTGTTCGGAGCGGAAAAAATTGAATTTTTATCTGAAGCGACACTTTTTTCGTAATCCATTACGCCGTTAAGTGATTGTCAACTAATCCTTTCGAGGTAGACTAATGTCTCATATTTTCTTAGTGAGTCGTCTGATAAAAGTTGCCATGCAGGTATCGAAACGGTATTATCATTTTATATCGGTTTTTATGTGTGTGCCTGCGTGCGCCATTTCTGCTGTCGTTAAGACGCGCGTCTTGACGAGTAATCAGTTGTAATTAAAGAAAGGACCTAGAACTTGAGAATTGCATAATCCCTGATGATCATCACACGTTGTTGTAACGCAAGCACGAAACATTGCTATCGCTTTCGAGGCTTGTTTGCTATCGTAAAAATGTAAATTTACAAGCGATACGCATGTATGCATTATCCTAAGAGACAATATTTGATGGATCGACAAATGGAATGTTAAGGCACATTTAGTGAAAGAATTTTTTTTTAATCAAGTACAGACGATGTTGCGAAAGCTGATGTTCGAAAGTTACACGCTTCAAAAGTTTGAAATTATAAAGCGTAATCGAGTAAAATCGCTTAATGTGTAAAGCAAAACGTCATGCATTTAACTTTAAAGAGAAATTCTAACGATAAATTATAAGTGAAGGCCTCATGCGCAAACATACAGTTTGCATCGTTCTGTCAAATTGTCACAGACGTAGTAACTTTGGGACAATTCGCATAGCCACGCAATATCGATCTCTGTGATTTTGTTATACAAAATTAATGGAATCGTAATCGCGTCTACACGAACGTTCATCTTTTTCTGAATATATTTCAGTCTATTGTTAGAATAGACTATTGTTTGAAGGCCATTGTTTGAACAGCCTTTTTCGCAGTTGGTTAAATTCAATTCCCTCGTTTCTTTGATTTACATATGTTATTATCCTTATTATTATATGTTCAAAAACAAGCAGGTGATACTTTTAAGATGTAACATTTTTTACCGATTCTTCGACCAGTAGCGATTGTTATTCGATTTCGCGAGATATTTTTATCATGCATAACGTTGCAGTTTTTTTCGAAATTTCGCGTTATCGTCAGATGTCTCGGACCTCTGTAGACGATGTCTCTCTTGCATGTGTCTCACGTAATCGTACGTGCAACAATAAAGATTTTGCGTAATGGAAGAAGGACGCCGAGGATGTTCATCATTCTCAAGATAATCACTTTAAATCAGCCAAGGATTTCCAGACGGTGTCACGTCGACGGTCCCCACACTCCTCACGTAACCGTTTGGACTAAAAAACACGAAAACAATATTCTCGAGTAAAGCGTCTCTCATCGCATATGTCGAGCAGATGTGGGGAACCTTAAAGCAACCAGGTGACGACTTGCCCACCGAATAAGTACCGGCAGAAAAGAATCGCGAGTACACTCGTTAGCTAGATAATCAAGAAGCATTCTGGCGCATAATAAGCGCGCGGAAACGGCCAATTGTCTTTCAAGAGACAGAGAACTTCGAATGCACTTTCAACTTCCGCGAAAATCTTCCGGCGTATTTAATGGCCGATCCGTTAGAAAGCGCATCGATAATATCTGGGCTGAGCTGAAAATATTAATATATTTTCTATAACAATTAAGTTATCAGTTATCACATCTCTACGAATTTCAAGAAGTTGAGATTGAAGTTATCTTCCTCTTTCAATAATTTTTTATTTTCAGACAACTTTACCAGAAATTACTTGTTTATCGAAACAAAGCCGTATATATGTTTTCTTCATGTAACATTGCATTCATGTACTCATTCATATCATTCATTATCGTAATCGAAACTTTATTTTATTAGCATCGCCCATTATTATTCGCTATGCGTTTTTCTTTTTACGAGATTTGTGTAATGAGCGTCGTGTAAAATTAGTAAACATTTTTATTTTTTCAGGTCTCTGTCGCGGTCAAGAATTCAGTTACGAGGGAAGTCTAGGTGAGTCTGACAGAGAAGTTCGTTATTCGACGTTCATTGATAATGATGCACTTCGAAATGAGATCAATCTTGTTTTCGCAGGTCCGTCGCATTGGGGTGATGAGTATCATACGTGCATTGGGAAACATCAATCGCCCATTAACATAGAGGAGCACAATGTGAAGAACGTCAGCCTACAGCCACTGAGATTGATCGGCATTGACAATCCGTGCCAGTCGTACGTGACGAACACCGGTCACACGGGTAAGAATTTCACGGTTCGGTTCTACATTCGGCACGCCGAGAAAGAGACATTGGATTCGTTAGCTCGAGGTTTTCTCGCGGTTCGCGTTAAGTATTCCCGTTGGGAAACCCCTCGCGATTACATTCACGAGGATTAAAGTCGTTTCGTTACGATATAATTGGGACGATAAAACAAGGAAATGAGAAAAAACAGATACTTTGTACCTTGTAATTATAAATATCCTGGTGTACAAACGAACTCACAATAAATCACATGAATGTTAAATAGAAGTGACTAAAACGCTGACAAGATAAAAAGTTCACAAACGATTCGTATACGTATCATTACTGGCGGTTAAATCAGCGTCGTAACGATCTCAATCATGTTAATATAATACGTAATCGAGCTCAGATATAGAGATTACTTTCAACACGTAATATCGATGTTACATAAAAAGATATATATCTTTAATATAATTGCATGCAACACACTGATGTCTTTAATATTTTAATAATTGCTGTTGCATGCAACTTTTTTTTTCTTCCAATCAAGTCATGCTGAAAACCAACGAATCCAAAGCAGCCATGCTGTCCGGAGGACCCTTAGAGAATAATATCTACGTGTTTGAACAACTGCATTTTCATTGGGGCCAGAACGATTACGAGGGATCCGAAGATTTAATTAACAACCATTCGTTCCCGATGGAAATGCATGCTGTGTTTTACAAGGAGGATTACAAGTCGATGGATGAAGCTCTTAAGCACGAAGATGGTCTGGCTATTTTAGCATATTTGTACGAGGTAAGAGATCACGTCGATTTCGAAATTTTACTTTGTATCTTTTATACGTTATTATAATTAATCTTCTTGCATCGTTATAATTTTTTTGAAAATAATCTTACATGTTAAAAAGTCTGTTTTTTAATAAAATCATGCAGATAAGCCCTCAACCGAATCCAATGTACGAACCGATTGTAAAATTATTACCTGACATAGAAGCGATGGGTAAGGGAAAAGTATTGCAAGAGCCTTTGTTATTGGAAACAATACTTGTGCCAGATATTGCGAACATGCAGGACTATTTCACATATAACGGCTCATTAACTACTCCACCTTGTCTCGAGGTTGCTACGTGGATTGACTTTAAGGATCATCAAGAATTATCGCGCGAGCAGGTCTCTTAACATGATTTGCGAGTACTATAAACATTTCTCTAACGTTATAATATTACTTATAAATTGATAATTTTTTGGCACAGATTTTCAATCACTTAAACTATGTACATATATGTCTGCAAATTTGATACGTAAGAACACGCAGATTTCTTGTTTAATTTCAGTTGTCTGCATTTCGTGACTTACGGAACCCACAGGGCAACAAATTGACTCACAATTTCCGGCCGGTGCAGCCTTTGGAAGATCGAGTAGTTCTTCACAACATTCCGCAAGAGCATAGCACACCGAGTAACATTTCTGAAGACCATCATTTTGATGGGCATTCTGGACAACGGAGTGTCAAGGTGCCGATTCTGTTCGTTGCATTAGGAGCTCTTGTGGCAATCTTTCTGTTTGCCATGTGAAATCCTTGATACGAAATATTCTAGTCAAAGAGTGTTTTTCAATTGTTATCATAACCTTTGAAGGAAGAGAATGACGACAATTAGTAAACTATTACTAAGCGAAAAAGAATCTAATTTTATAATATTGTTTGACGGTTAAGATATTTAATTGAGTAAACGCTCTAAAATAAAGTTTTATGATTTCATGTAACTAGAATACATTTTATGTGATGATTTTTAATTTAACAGCAATTTAATTATTTCTTAACATTGTAACAGCGACATAAGCAATTCAAGATCATGACACACACAGCACACATATACATACATCAATTAAAACGTTATCTTTACACATACATTAATCGCAATCATTTAATTGTGATTAATAGTGACATATAACAGTTGCCAAGATAAAATGTTTGCATTAAGATTGAATTTTAAAATAAATAGATGTGTCATTCTCCATGCGAGCGAGTTCAAGCGAATATTTAATTCATAAGAAGCTATATCAATTATTTAGATACCTCATGTGCTACATATAAGAAATAATGATGAATTACAAATATATAAATGTTGATTATTAAATATATATTCTATAAATAAAAAAAATATAATTTATTACGAAATATACATATTTTTGATAACGATACTATTCATTCTTTGTGAGAATTATTTACGTAAGCTGCTAAATCTTGTTGGCCTTGTTTGAGACGTGCCCTCACTTCTTCTGCTATCGCTTTCTGCGTTCTCCTCTCTAATATTTCCAATTTTTTGGCTATATCTCGCTTCAGATCCCAATCAGGCTTTCTCGGTGCTAAATTACTGATATCCTAGTAAGTGAAAAAAGTAAACAAAATAAAAATTGTTTGTGAGAAATCGTGACAGAACGCTGCAGAAATATGGGCATATCGAGGAAATATATAATTCTATATATACATATATACATAGAACTTTAGCAGATTATCTTTGATCAATAAATTCTTTGACAATTTTGAATCACGTTCTAGTAAAAACATTGAAGGGCCATCATCAGTAAATAAAAAGTAGTTTAATAGTAGAACAGATTTTGTGGAACGTCCCAAACTTACCAGTTCCTCGATAACCACTTTACTGTTCGCAGCGTCCAGTTGCTCCTGAACTACAGCTTCCACATCGCCGGGTTTCGCATCCTCTATCACATTATTCTTCAAACTTTCGTCCTGCGGCTTATAACTCCGAAATTTTGGCCTGAAAACACAAGACTCTGAGCACGTCAACGGCAATGTGAGGTTAGATTTCAATCTGTATCTTTAAAATAAAACTTACTTTGGCAAATTTTCGACTGTGTCGTTCTCATTTTCTTTGCCCTCTTCATTCTTTCGTTTGAGCGCCTGAAGTCGTTCTTTTCTCTTCAAAGCTTCCTCCTCTAACGAGCCAATTTTCTCTTCCGTCATTTTCAAATAATAAACACTCGTAAAATCACAGATGACACTTGGCTAGTAACTCTGAAGCAAAAGTTAGGACACACTACTGACACTACTAGGAACTACCGTGTTCCCAGATAGGCCGGGTTTTTCGCGCGTGCGCAGCGAATTTGATTTCAATAAAATGCTTATGGGAAGAAAGGTTTCGAAATACATATTTACATATAAAGCACATATTTTTATACAATTTAAAGTAAATATTTTGTTTAACAGAAATTGTATTTTTGGAGACACGTCACGCACAACTATTGTCAATATTAATGATGTTAAGTAGCCAACTTTTAATTCAAAATTAAAATACAATTAAAATTACACGTTGCGATAATTTATGCCGATAATAATTTCTTTTAATAATCCGCATCGACTCTTTTATTGCCAATTTCTTTTATGTTCTTATTATTATTAAGAGTCCTTAATTATATTTTATTATTTTTAATAATCTGTAAAAAAATTAAAAATCATTATTCTTCCTCATTATTGCAATTTTGATCAATATAATCTTAAAAAATTTTAATTCGTATATAAATTTATATATTATAATAGTTTTTTAATATTAAAAACTTTTTCAAATATATTAACATTTTAATAAAGTTTCTGCATGTATTTTCCACGGTTAATTTGTGATAAAATAACCACTTTGTAAACAAATTAGTTTATTAACATTTATACACAAGAATTCGTACAATCCAGCGTCAGATAAATTATAAGCAAATTATATCGAGATTATGTCTAACATTATCTATATTTTATTTTAAATGTTATTTTATTTTAACGTTACGTTCAGTCGCGCAAAGCCTCGCAGCTAGCGCTCGTAAAGAACTCGCATTTATGAACGAATCGCCATCAACTTTCGCTCACGCAGTCACTCTCGCCGAAGGTGCATCGCAATCCAACATCGATTTCAGTTTCCAGACAAAGCTTTAAATCTTTAATCAAGGCGCGTTTAGCGTTACTCATTTCCTCGCGTTGAGGCAGGAAAATCGCGTAGCGTTCGAATATCGAATCGAATAAATAAATGACGGCGCTGAAGAGATGATTCATGATGTTATCGGATTACTGTCGAGAGAATTTATGAGAAAGAGAATGGCAAAATATGCATTCTTTAATTCCAACACAAATGAACACACGCATGGGACACATATAATTCATATACGTGCGGGAGACAATGAGACAAATTATCATGGCGTTATTGTCGTTTGTTGATTACAATGATACCCCGAATAGATGTGACACACTCGCTAAATTAACGTAATTGTCTGTAAGTTTAACCGAAAATTTTAAGACAAGTAAAACAAGAGAGACGCCGATGTCCCACGAGATTCGCCGATTCGCCCGCCGGGTGAAATCACGGATCTGTGCCAAACGCTTTGTGAAATTGAGGACATACACGTACACGTATATATACGCGCAAGAGATGTGTCTCTCGCGTCGCGTCGGCGGCTTCCTCGTCGGCATTGTGTGGTACCCGCCGGGGAAAGTTTATTTACAGTCGAAGAAGCGTTTTCAATCCCGATGCGCGGCTCGATGCACGACTTCGCGAGACCCCTGATCCCGTACACGAGCTCTCCGTGTGTGTGCGTCTCGTTAGAAGACTAACTCATTAGAACCAACTCGATATACACACAGGCTGTAGAACGTCAGCTAATCAATAATATAGAGTTTTGATCTTTAATAAACTTGGATTTGACGGTTTTTTTATTTTTTATTTATTTTTTTTTCAACGAAGATTTAACTGAAGAGTAATTAGACGGGTGAAATAATGTTTTCTTAGAGTACAAATAGTAATCTGTTAGGCGCATATATTAGAAAGCTGGCATAGGATTTATTTAACTTGTCGAATTTCAAAAATGGCTTCGGCAAATTCGCGAGCCATATTTGCCGAGAACAAATTGCGAGATATTTTCCCTTTCTTTCGTCTCTCGAGCGTCAAACCCAAGTGGAACGTAATAACATAAAACTATGTAATGCGAGTCCGGCGAGATTTTCGCCTTCTTTCCTGTCATGTCAAGCGCATGGATTAATCCTTCTCCTCCTCTGTTAACATAAATACTCTTATTGCTACGGTTACGTTTTTATGATTACGTGCTTCTTCGCGTTCTCTGCCGTTGAGCGTGCTCTAGCTATTATCGACGAGAACTGGCAGTGTGTTTTCACGTCGCCGAGCGCTGTATCAAGAATGGAAGTGAAAATCAAAAGGGACAAGGAAGCGGGACTGGAGTCACACAATTATATACAGTGTCATGCGTCACGCGAACCAAGTGCGAACTTGCGTAATCGGGCACGGGAAGGCCGTTACACGGGCAAGGCCCTTGTTTTGAGATACATACAATCGTAATTAATACAGCATTATACGCTCGCCAAGGAAATAGCTTTCTCGTTGTTCCGATTCTCCCGCCTTCCCGAAGCGCTATGTTCCTACATCTTTGTCTCACGCTCCTATCGATCCTCGAGATTTGGCGGAGAGTAAAATCTCGCGGAGGTAACACCGAGGGGGCAAAAATGATTCGCAACGATTCGATTTCACTTGGATGCTGGTATATTCAAGGTTACTATCGTCATGACTCGCGTACTATTGAACTTACCGAGTCATCCCGCGTCCTCTCGCGAGCTATGAATAACCGTTCTCCGTATGTACGTATAAGTGCGTCTGTACGTATGCAAAATCCGTGATGATATCCGGACTTTTGTCACCGATGTATGCGTGTATGCGTGTTTGTATGTGTTTCAATGCCAAAGATTCGAGAAATTAGAGAAGATATCCATATAAAGAGTAGGCCAAGATAGAAAGAAAACGGGTGAGGGACGAAAGAGAGAAGCAGAGAGGAAGAAGAGATAGAGGGACAGAGAGAAAAAAGAGAGAGCTCGATTTCACCTTGCTAATATCGTCCTGTAGTGATTTACACGACTCGTCCAAGTTTTACATCGATACATCTATCTGTCTGTTCACGCGCTGCCCAATTTGCTGCGATTATTCGTGATAAATTGATTATAGTTCTTGTTGGGTAACGCGCCAACGTTCAGCGCCAATACCTTGGACACGATGTTGAGATCTTCGTCACCTGGACCCTGTATGTTGCCCAACTCACCGGCGACTCCCGATTGATAAATCAGACGTTGGATTTGCTTGGCGGGCGGCTGCACCCTTGTTGGGATCTGCCTGAACTGCACATAGGGATTGTAAACGAACGTATTCGGGTTCCTTGGTATCGCGTTGAAATTGAATGTGTTCCTCGACGGAGGCGGTTGCTTGTTATCCAGGTTGAAACCAAAATTGCCAACTGCATTAAAAGCTTCCTGCCTGTTAAATCTCGTGGCCGGCACAACGGGCGGCTGGAAGTCAGTAGGAAACGAAACAAAATTCTGTTGCAATCGCTGCTGATGCTGATGCTGATGCTGTTGCTGTTGCTGTTGCTGGAGTTGAGGCTGTGGTTGGGGCTGGGGTTGGGGCTGTGGTTGAGGTTGCTGACGGAACTGCTGGAAATGTAACTGCTCCTGATAGTTTGAGCGGAATAATGGGGGCGCCGCAACGCTGGGAACCTCCAGGGACACACTTGGTTGAAGATGAACCGTAGGCTCCGAATGCAGCTGGGATGGCTGGGATGGCTGGGGTGGCTGGGGCGGCTGAAGCGGCAATACGTTCGATTGTTCAAATATGTGCGACTTCTGTAGCAATGGGAAATGATTGTGTTGATGGAAACGGTAGATCCTCTGCTCCTCCAGCTGCCTCAAACGCTGTTCCTCCAATTGTTTGATTTTAGCCTGTTCTTCCAAGTGCTTGATTCTAGCCTGTTCCTGAAGATATAGTTGCTGCTGTTTCTGTCTCAACTGCTGATCGTACAGTTGACGTTGCCTGGCGAGAAACTGCGTCTGCTGGATTTGCTGCTGCTGCAACTCCGCCAGCTGCTGCTCCAGTAATTTTTGTTTGAATTCCAGCTGCTCTTGAAGAGTCAGGGCCTGTCCATCGCCTGATTGCCTGTATATCGGCACGATGCTCTTCGGTATACCAAGCTCATCTTGTTGCACCGTAAAGGCCGCAACCAAAGGCGCTTGGAAAATTTTCACTTCCTCCGCTTGAGCTCTTTCCTTATTAGCGCTAGAAGACAAAGTGACATTGTTCCTGAGCGGAACTGTCGGACTAGATGCAGTCGGTTTCGGGGTGATCAGCGTGTTGGTATTGGTAATCCCGTTGCTAGCGCTTTGCGTCAAGCTCTCTGATAATTGCGTAATCGGTTTCAGCGTGATACTCTCTACCTTGCTGACCGTGGACGAGCCCGCGGGAGTTTTCTTCGTTTCCGGCGGATCCACTTTAGATTCACGTCGTGGCGTTGTACTTTTATCTGAGAGAGCCACATTCTGCACGTGGAAGCTTCTGGCGTCGTCGTGACTCGCTTTTTCTATCATCGCCGACGGACTCGAGGAAACGTACCTCTTTGACTCGAGAAAGCTCGAATTTTGCAATTTTTCCTCGTTGACGATTTCCTCATCTCCCGGAAAATTGTCAAACGAGAAGGAAGCTTTCGGTATCACGCCGATATTATTATTCAGGTTTTTCTTAACCACTTCATCGAAAGTCTTTTCAACAGTCATAATGAGCGATTTTTCATCTTCATCCTTTCGTTGCTCCGCAGATTCGGCCTCTAGTTCCGTCAGCGCTCTCAGCAACGCTTGCCGTAGATTTTTGTCGAGTTTTACCGCAGGTGGTGCAGTTTCAAGAACCTTAGCTGAGATCTCAGACTTCTGAGACCTAGCCAGACTGAGGCAGGCTACTAAAATTGATATGGCCACCTGCAAAATTAGAATGAGATATTAAGACAATATTGTATTGCACAGACTAGATTACATTTATTGATAATTGCTAAGTGTCCATATTCTTTATCGTGCAATGAAGCTAAACTGTTGTGACAAAATTAATCCCTATGTCACTGATGTGTGTATCGATTCCTTTCAATCACGATTAAAGATCATTTTAATGCAACCAGGTTATTTGGGAAAAGATAAACCACGGGCAGTATTTATTTAAAAAAAAATGGGACGATATTGAGAAGATTTTGATGACACAAAAATGAACATTTATGACTGGTTTCACCGTATTGATTCGAGAGAGATTGAAAGCTAAAAGTTTCTGTGTCCGCCTGAGTCTATCTCCGTGAGTCCCGTTATGAAGTGGAAGATTCACAACGACCCGTAGGCGATTTTCTCCTCCTAAAAACATGGTAAACACGTACCTATGGCTTTCGAGCCGTATGAGGGAGACCGGCGATTTGCATATTTTATGTAATTACGCGAGAACGCGCATACACGTAAACGTCTGTCGTCGCCGAAAAGACGCGCATGCATAATTAAATGCTTCTTGGAAAATTGAAAATTGTATATAATAACGAATATAATAACTTTTCAGCGGAAGCTATTTTCTTGTTAACTATTTTGCAGGCCATATAAGGTTTTTTTTAAATATATGTATATTATTATTATTAGTAATTTTTTAATATATATGATTATTATTAAGTAATTAATATATATAATTATTATTAAATAAAAAAATGCATTTTTTTAAATTCTTTAAAATTTTGTCAGTTTGCTTACTTACACACTAAGATTGCCTAAGAATAATAATTCAACGAGTTAAAAGGTAAAGAAGACGAATATCGATCAAGGAAGGAAACGATAAACGCGAGAACTCAGCGGGGATTCCATTATGTTTCTGTTGAGCTCGAATGCAATTAGAAGCGCGTATCTTTAATTACGCACGTGTATAGAGCACATATGCGCGGGCTCTTGGGAATAAACTTTGGTATTTAAGTGGAGAGAAACTCGGATGGATGCCTCAGAGCTTTGTTACATTGCCGCGAATAATCGAAATTCAGCGTGACGAGGACTACCGTAAAAACGCCCGAGTTACGTGCTTCATCTCAACTCTCGCAGAATTTTCAAAGTATATCGTCAGTTTTATTGCATTCCGGCATTGGCGTGTAATGTTTAGCATAATGGAGATGCTTTCAAATGTTTCCCGTTCTCACGGTATTAAGTTATGAAAGTAAAAGTAAATACACATCGAAAGTGCGTGCTCAAGAAATTTTTCCTATGCTCCTTTTGGTTTTAAGATTTTATAGAAATTAAAGTTAATGATTTTTAATCCGTTTTTCGCGTCATGTTCCCTCGGTGAATAAATAGCGAACAATTTTTTTTTTCTATTAATCCATTCACAATAATCATCTTCTACTTGGACTCCACACCTATAATTATTTGTCGTCACTACCTCAGGTAGTTACGAACGAGCAATTTGGGAAAGTGCCGCCTTGATGATGCTTTTACGTTTAATGGCCGCGTTCCTTTCGTTTCCATAATGACACGTGACGATGATGAGCGATGTGAAAGACCTCTCGGACAACGGACAGTGTTTGATTATTCATTATCAAGGTAGCGTTCACAGATACCATTTTAAACGAGGTCGTCGCATGATCCGTCGGTTTTATTCAAACGCATGATCTGCGGGATTTATTCAAACGGGTCGGCAACACACGTAATCCATCGTGATGGCACGATCGGTTACGCCCTAGAAAGGCCACGAGCTAAGTATCTATCGGAAGCGATTTGTGGGTTTTGAACTTTCACCCCGATTGTGATCCGTCAAATTGCCGCGGTGGGAGCATCGGTATGACACGTTCGCATGCGCGTCGTGGAAATTCTGTTTTCGCCGGGCCGTAAAGCGACGAGGGAGAAGGAAGAGAAGTTATTCAAGTACTATCAACCATAATTCCCCGTCAACCGTGAATCGGAGAAAATGAGTGGATTCCGCACCGGCGCTAAGCGTTCGAAGCGTTCTTAAGCGTGCGTAAACAAAGAAAGAAAAAAAAGAAGCGCCGTATCACACCACACGAGAGCCGTACCTCTGACATTTGTAAAGAAAGTTACACCGCACCCGGAGGAAAACAACAGAACGACACGCCGCCGCGCCGGCCGGCCGGGTCAACGTGGAAAACGTGGAGAATTATCAAATTATGTATTCATCGCGCAACAAGCCCGCTTTAAATGCCGGCACTTTTGCCGCAAAAGGGGAAAGTCTGTTAGACGTCTGTAAACCATCCCGTAATTTACACATAATATAACAGGGAGCTGCGACGTTTAGCGCCGCTGCTGTAGAGCAGCCCGTTCCGTCCATTCGTTGGATCTCGCTTGGATGGTTAATTTGACTCGCCGCAGACTCTTCTAAGAGAAGCCATACCGGAGTATATTGCGCGAACGTGGCGGAGGCGTAAGATCATTAGAATTTTCATGAGACCTTTTGTTCACTTCGAGTCTCATAAACACTGAATATCCCCTTCGCGGCTATAAACTTGTGCGGAGCGTTGACAATAAAAATTAACGGAACGGCACGACGCATACCAACGATTAGTCAACTTTGGAAACTTTCTAAACCTGTAACAAGCATATCCTCCCGTACCTCCGCGTCGCGGCGTCGGTCCAGCGTCTCATTAATCTTTACGTACAAACGCGAGGGGCACGCCGACTTGCAGGTGTCGTATCTTTTAATAATAGTCTGGATGCTGGAACTGATTCACATCGCGCTTTTGACGTGGTTTCACTTTCAAAACTCGCCGACCGAGAACCCTCCCCGCCTGACACGTGTCACCGCCGCGACGGATTTATAGACACACGTTAAGTAATTTCCCGCCGCACGTAATTGCAGGAACGCTAATTAATCGGCGACGAAAAAGTCGAAAGCCGCATAAATGTGTATATGCGCTAGGAAAGAAAAATTACTGCGAGACGAGCGAGGAAGACGAGTGTTGTCCGGACGATAAATCGACCACAACCGGTTGTTAAAAGGATCTCGGAGTCTCATATTTGGCTATCGCGAATCTTTGATTACGGACATTTTCGCGTGGCGAACTCCTGACCCGTCATTTTCCATCGCGGGGAATAACACCGCGAGTTTCACCGCGCCTACAACACAAGTATAGAATCGTTGAATTGACAATGCGCGATAGAAGATAATGCAAAGGAAACTTTGGATTTCGCGTCGATTAGTTATTAGTTGCGCGTCGTTAGGAATAAATGTTGCGTCATCGTTGGAATAAATTTTGCGCCGTCAAGATTAAAATTATATGCTTGAGTTATTAAAATATCGACGAAAGTTTAATAAATTATAAGAATAGAGTCGATTCTCTGTTCTACAGATCGGATTTAAAGCAGCATAATAGTGTCGAAACCAGGAGATATGCTATGTGTTACCTGAATGTTTAATGAACGAAACTACCTTAATTAAATACATAACGACAGACATAAGCAAGCGAAGTTAATTGCTTCACAATGGTAATCAGACTGAGACAATTAAATCCCAAATTATTATAACCATTTTCCAGACTTCAACACCTCTTATTTTATTCATTCAGATTGTACCGTGCCATTAAGGTGATCAGTTTTCAAACAATATAATTAACCCAGAGCAAAGTACTATGGATTCTTATATAAACATCGTGCGTTGTTGTACGTAAGTCAATAGTAAAATACAAAAAATGGAGCCTTATATAGATAAATATATCTCAATTATAATTAATTTTTTTTAATACACTTGAATACAATTTTTGTTACATCGCTCGTTACGAACTTATACTCGCTTGACAAAATGTGCGGTTCAAAATATGGCTCAAATAGAGGACGCGAATAGATGACAATGATAGCGAGAAATCTGTCGCGTTAATCGAAGGAGGAGAAGACGAAAAATCTGTTTCACGCCATGCGCGATCGGAGTGGGGAAACAGCGTGAGAAAACTCGTCATGTTGATCCGGCTCCGCAATAACACTGTTGGCGCGGTGGAAGTCAGAAGATGAGGAAGAAGAAACCGCGAGAGCAGGCGGCACTTTCACTCGGCAGTATGTCGAGGATGCGCAACGCTCGTGAACTTGCTTCAACTCGGCGTACTTTTGCCGCGCGGCGTGACAGGCATTAAAACCGCCACGCCGTGCCGCGCCGCGCCGTCAGTTACACAGACTTGTAGGCTCGGCTTTTGTGCCGGATTACGACGAATCGGTTTGACGCAACATCATCTGAGCGGCAACACGCCCGGCCGCATTTTTCTCACCCCCTAACATCGACGGCGAAGCTTCCTTATTATGAATGTATCGAATGCAAGAAAATGCGCGCTTGCAAATTTGCACTAATTATATATGTGCGTAACACAAAGTATCACGATGTTTCCACGCATTCTAGAGCTCTTCTCACGCCCTCGATGGAGATGCGTACGAGATATTCTAACACTCCTGACGTTCTCTTTTTAATGTTGGACAAATTCTTTAATTTGGAATCAATTTTTCCCAAACTATCGATACAGAGAAATGAACCTTTGGTGGAGTCGTGACTTATCGTTAGGTAATGTGTTTTGTGCAATCGATGTATGTTAGAAATTAGTATTGTATACGTTAGAAATGAGTAATACAGACAGTATTTCTCAACATCCTTTAACTTAATGACAAATTTTTCACAGAACCTTTCTATCTGAGCGTTATTTGCAAAAACATCTAACGGTGGAAATTGCAAAGTTGTATAACCAGATAATAACCGTCCTCAAAATTTTTAAGGAAGAATCGATTTTCGATGTAATACAAATCTTGCATGCACTGCATTGGAAGGTCCAAAGATAAGTGTGTTTGACATTAAATTATCCTGATTATCGTCATTACGTTTCCGACATAAATTTTACATTATCTCAAGACCCACTCGGACAATCGACGTCTTGTAATAAGCAAGGGAAATTATTAGACTTATGGACCTATGATACTCTAGCTGCCCGAAGTTAATTTGGATCTGGGGGGGACATATCCTAATCAACTTCAATCTTGATTAAAGATTTCATATCTGACAAGCACATTCGACAGAGTGGGAAAAACAAGTAGAAAAACGCCAGTGTCTGCGTTCAAAGTCGTTTCTCTCAAGAATCGCGCAACCGATCGCTAAAATCTACTTCACTTTTTACTCATTTTCTCACCCTGTAATCGACTCTTCGCCGTTGACTACGATGTGCCGAGACAACTCCTACCTCCTACATCTTTCGGACATATGAGACGCAGAAACGCGGAAATGGGAAAACGTGAAAGCGCATCTCGGCGATGTCGCCAAGTACGTATACAGATTATACAACGAGTCCTTGGCGTTGAGTAACGTGCAGACCTAGCCAGAGAAGATGGGCCAATGCGCCCGAATGCAATTAAATTAAATAATTGCGCTGCACCGCGGCGCGATACGCCGCGCCGCGCCGTGCCGTATCGTATCGCGAGCTCGGAGAGAAAGTCGAGACGGGAGCCTCCGTCCGTCGAAGGACCGTGCCCGTGTCCGTGTCTCTGCCGCTCGAAACGCTTTATTTTGGCCCAAGTACACGGATACAGACGTATCCATCAATCTAAATTGGTTCGAGGTCGATAATTGGCTAAAATGTTGCTGAGATTTCTATCTCCTCTCGTCTGAGAATTTCCTAGAAACTCTATTATCTTCCTCATGCCTCGACAGTTATAGACTCGTAAGATCACCTAACGGACCTTAGGGTGGTCTCGAGCATTCTACGCCGGGTATACTTTATACACGTAATACCAATAATATCATACTCGTGATAGAGTATCTTTCCGCGTGACCCGACAAAGGATTGGGTCTTGGAAAGTTATATCGAGGTAGCTGCGCGGTCGAGTCGGCTAGCGGCTCCGCTCGGCGCGGCGGAGGAAAGTATCGGAAAAATCTGAAACATGGGAGCGGTTTAACGCGATTGTTCCGTCGTACGTGACCTTAGGCGTTGGGACGGCGGACGGCTGCCGAAGGATCTATGCCGAACGAAAGGATGCCGATGAGCGCGCGACTTTCCACTTTCGACGCGAAAAATCGTGGCTCCAACGGACCGCGAAACCGTACGTTCGCGATTATTAAGGAAGTTATTGATTTGTTACGGGCGCGCGTAGATTTCTGGCGTAGAGTTGGACGGGCCTGTGGTAGAGAGAGAGAATCCGTCCAGATATACCGATACGATCTTACGAAACGTCCGGAAACTCTTTCCCATTCAGAGAAGAGGCAGGTGGAATCTCTGGCTACCGTTACTATTACGTGCATGCCGTTCTTGATTAAGAAGCCCCCGTGCACGTCTAGGCGGCATGGTCGGTTACCGTTTCGTAAGAATTTGCCTGCCGTGTAATACGTTTTTTATCCGGCTTATCTCGCGTTCAAGAATGGATCGTTGCGTCGCTCGAAACGGAGGAAAAAAAAAAGAAGAGGAGGAGAAGAACTTTCTTCCCGCGGCCCGCGGCTCGAAAAAGATGCCATCTGCTTTCGAGGGTCATCGAACTCGCCGTCTGACACAGGTATCCACGCCCATCCCTTCACGTCATCAAATCCCTGATATAATTACTTTCTCTCGAAATGCGCGCGCCATCGACCACAAGTATATCTCGTCGGCATGACCGTGCATTAAAATGAGAGATCTCAAATAATCCATTCGGACAGAAGAGATCCTCGAAGGTGCTTTTTCCCCGCGAACGATACGTTGCGCGTCGATTAGAAAACCGGAAAAATTGATTGTTCGAGGTGTAATCGGGAGAAAATTATCGTGCGCGCTCACATCGCACAAATCCATGGAATTGAATGCAAACCTTTACGATCCATCAAATCAATTTGATTAGATTGTTTCAGATCAATTTCCGTTTCTCCGCCGCGCCCTGTGCCGATTTCGAATGAACTCTCACGTAGGTACGCGTCTACGTATCTACATGTGATCTTTCGTCTGGTCCATTGATCGAACTTATACGAGGAGAGAGCATATATCGTATGTATGTAGACCGCGACGAGTATAATATCTCAATTCCAGAGGTTTCACTATCTTTTTCTCTTCTCCCTTTCTTTTTTATATATAAGTGCAATCCTTTTATGTACATATATATATATATATATATATATATATATATATACCCCTTTTCCACGGTACAGCGATCAATCTCAATCATTCCAAATTAACGGCTCGCATGACGAACCTCAGCTTCAATCTGCCCGTGAAACTAAACCTAATGTTAATTAACGCAACACGCGACCGTGCTACATGACAACTGGGTCGTTAGAAGCGTATAATCCATCAACGTGCGCTCGCGTGTCTCGCCATCGCGCGATTCGCGAGCGAGTAGAAATTGATCCAGTGGTCCAACGACTGCACCGGAGCACCTCGATTCATTAATGCGATTGGTAATGAGCCTAGTCGGCTTCACGGTGAATTGCCGTAAAGTGGACGCCAACAAGTAAATTGCGGAGACCGCGAGAGGATCGACCTTTTTACCTGAATCAGCAACTACAAAATGACTGTATTTAGTTTCTTCGTTTCGAATTAATCTCGAGAGCTGTACCGCTGTGGACCGCTTTAAAAATCTGAGGACGAAATTGACATTTATTAACGTTTGTCACGGATTTTCGCCCGATCAGCGAAAGTCGTTTCCAAAAGCAAAGTGATTGATGCTTTAGACTTTTAAGCTTCAGATATTCAGACTTTAAAGAGAAAACACTGGCTTTTAAACAAATATGTAATTAAACATTGATTTTTTTAAACCAATGTTTAAAAAAAAATCTAAAATATCTCTATATTAATAAAAGTACTTTGTATATTAATATACAAAGTAATGGTGAATGAAAAATAGAATTTAAACGAAACAACTTTTAAGTTAATTACTTTTGAATATATTGAAGTGTACGCGCGTGGACACAACTGTGCAACTACAAATATAAAATTTGACTGATATCCACAATATGTTACGTTCTTCAGATCATATTGCGCGACACTGATGCTAAATACTGAATCATAATTTGCTAATTATACGCAATAGCGTGTTTTTATTTGGTGAAATCGTTAATATTTACCGGAAATATTATCTGACGGCTGACACGGTCGCGCGAAAAATCGGGCCAACCGGACAAACGATTTCATTAAACAGCTATCGGAAACCGTTAAGTAGAAAAGCATGCATATGTCCCTTCCGCGCGCGGATACGGTACGTACACTTGTGAATCTGATGGAAGTCGCGAAACATATGATGGAAGAAGAAAGTGGCTATCGTGAAATGCTCACACCGTGGGTTTCTTCGCAGCTAGAAACTCAAGTATCTACTCGAGTATCAATGCGTACGCATTTAGTCAGTATTAGAATTACTTGCGGGAAGACTGCTATCTCCAGGTAATAGCATTCAATTTTATGACGACAACTTTATTAATTCAACTTGGATTATCCGTCGTTTCGCTCCACGAAGAAAAAAAGAGAAACCGAGAAGAGACATCGAACACACGACGTCACCGTATTTTTTTTTCTTCAAGACATCCTAACTGGAACTCGAGACTGTCTCGATTACTAATATTCGATTTCTTTTTGTTCGCTATATGCATTTCTACGGGATAAAATTTGCCTACACTATAGGGGTCTTCCTAAACTTCGATCCGATCACTTGGCACTCATCGAGATCGATATTATTCGAGTCACTGTCACTTGGCACGAGGATACGTAACTCACTACCGTGAAGAAGAGATCTATTGTTTCGAAGAAACGAGGAGAAAAAAAAAGAGAGAAAGAAGAGAAAATCAAAGGAAAGTTCACTAAGTGAGGAAGCTGATCAGTGAATGAATGGTTTCGTACTCACCAAGCGCATGATGCTGTCTGTGCCCACGCTCGTTCAGTACTCGGCTTTTACTCGGGAAGATGATCTCCTGAATAGGTAGGTAGGCAGTGATAGTCTCCCTGATGCGCGACAGAGGTGGGGTCACGTACCCCACCGGTGTTAACACACGTACGTTACAAGTTACACGTACAGGTGGCAGGTTCACTGTCCAGCAGCTGCGTCTCGCCGCTTTCGGCCGTCGCGGATCGGCTCCTTTGAATACCCCAGCGTTTCCGTGACCCATTTCCGTCGCGTTCCCCGAACGTGTTTCCTGAGGGAGGGAAACGGGATATCAGTTACGTGTCGGACGCAATATAAGAGTGCTTAAATACAGATCTCTTTCTTGTATTCCATTTCTACCAATGTACTAATGTAGATTAACTTTAATCCCAGTTTAATTCACTTTTTATCTTTTTTTTAATTCGTAGAACTAGATAGTAGAAAAAGATAAAAAGTAAGTTAAACCAAGATTAAAATTAATCTACATTGATTATTATTATAAAAATGGATATTAGAGATGTTCCATCTTTCCAATATATCTGTATCATACTTGCACATTTCTGATCATTATGCTTGTATTTACACCTAAATACCTCAGCCAGAAATAATTAATTAAATCAACATCAATTCGGCGTCGATGAATGGTCAAATACTGTTTGATATTTTTATCATCTTTAATCTTTCATCATAATTGTCTCATGTTAATTGAGTACGAATATTTCCATAATATTATTCTATGTTTTCGACCAATTCTGCATTAAATATACATAATATATATTATGCTTTGCATTGATTCGGCATAGAATTAGCATATAAAGAGAGTAATAGAAATCTTACAGAAATATTCGCACGTGCTCATCAGCCGACATAAAAGCAATTATAAAGTTCCAAGGTGACAAAGATATCAAAATATTTAAGATATTGACCATTTATCGACGTACCGACGTTGATTCGCCTAATTATTTCTGGCTGGCTCTTTCGAATACCTGCGTATTTGCATCTATACGCAGGAAATAGGAAAAAATTGCGAAGGCGTTCGCAATTTGACATCTTGCAACTGAATTCATTAGATTAAATTTATACTTCTTTGAATTGCTCTTTTACTGTGCGCAAATCCTCTTTGAAAAGAAATTGACGTAAATTGCACCTTCCTACAAAAATATCGCGTTATCTTATCGTTATCTTATCTATATATTATCTATGTTATCTATATTACAAATCACATATTTAGAAAACATATTTATATAGGAAAATAAAATATAAAGGATCGGAGTTACGACTATTACGAACGTTCGTTACCTGTTTACACGTCCTAAAATTACATTCATTAGGTTAAAAAATTCGGCCGATGTTATTTTCACGATAAACAACTTCTGCTACGGACGCGACGATTAATTATGATGATGGCAGGGACGATGCGTCGATTTACGTCGCGTCGAAGACCGAAGACGAATTGAACGGGTGTCAGGAGCAGTCAGGAGTCAGGAGTCGGCACAGAACAGTGTCGAGTAGTACGGGTACGCAGTACGCACGTCACCTCGCGCAACGACCTTCGCCTTCCGCCAGTTCCGCCTTCCGCTATAGTTCCGCTCCACGACGAGAAACGAGAAACGCGCAGAAAGGCGAGAACCATGGCGGCGCTACTATTGGCGAAATTGTGCTTTCGCTGTGTCGTGCGCTTTTCCGACCGAGAGTACATGCGCTGAGGGAGAAAAACCGTCGGGATTGAATAGGAAGAAAAAATGGTACGTGAGAACGTAACTGTCCGTCACTGTCGTCGCGCGACAGACGCGTAATTGAACGCCGGAGTAATCGCTGACGGCCTAACCTCTGACCGGGCGATACCTTTCTTCGCAATATGTTGCGTCATTTCGTCATACGAGCCTCTCGGAAATCAAGAAAGAGAGAGAGTCGACCGACCCCGCTTTTTATAATTTCTTAATTTCAATACATGTGATCAGTGTTTTTACTTAAATCTTTCTACTTTTTATTTTCTGGAATGACCAGCTTGTTTTCTGGAGGACTCGCATTATTTACAATCGTGTTAGATGTATATCGATTACATTTTACTTTTCGTTTTTTTTTTAAGTTTACTTAAGAATTTACTTAATATTACTAATTCTATATAAATTCTCCGGATCTACTTTAGATAAGAGCAAATCAAAGTCACTTTATATTTGTGTTTACTAGTTATGTTCAGAAAAGATTTTTATTGTACATCTTTAATAAACATGCGTATACGTATCATATTTAATGCTGTACTTAATTGTGTTTAATAAACAATTGTGTCATACATGAAATTTGCGTGGTATAAGATCTTTGTTAAATTTGTATTGATAAAATAAATTCATGTCGTTCCACATTTTAGCATCTAAAATATTTATTGTTTTATGCATTGGCAGAATCATTGCAGTGAATCTAGCAATGATACGGATGAAGGCGATGATCAAGAGGCGTCTTCTTTGCAAGAAGGAACAAACATTGAGGACACCTTGACGTCTTTCAGGGAACAATGGCAGCGCGAGTTGACGATATCACCTAAGCGCGACGAATCAAAGATGTATTCGCCGAACCAGCCTAACATTGAAGTCGCAAACGATGAAGCCTCTATCGAGAGCAAAGTATAACAATTATTGTCTCAAAGTAAGAAGTTTTAAATTTCCATAACATTCCCATAAGAAACGTTACTTGTTTCAGGCAAAGAATTTATTTCTTAAAGGCATTGAACACGAACAGAGCAGAAAGTTTTACGAGGCAATCCAGTTTTATAAACGTGCGGTACAATTAGTTCCTGACATTGAAGTTCGTTTGTACGAATCAACGAAAGCAAAAGCAAGAGATATATTTGATGCTGATGATGGTTTTGATACATTAGACAATGATTTTTCAACTAACAACGACAGCGAAAATCATAATGAAGTTGACGAAGAAGGAAATGATTTATTTTTCAAGTTATCTAAAATTGTAAACCGCAATCAATGTGTATGTTTCCCAAAATTTGAACAAAGTGTAAGCATCTCATTTTAACATTTTTTTCAACATCTGTGTCATCACTTTAAATGCACTATACATTTATACAGGATTGGGATATATTTTATATTCAACATTTTTTAAATGTACTTTAGACAACACATATATCTGCGTTACCTATGGAGATAGTACTTTACATTCTAAGATGGGTTGTGTCATCTGAACTGGATTTCCGATCGTTAGAAATGTTCTCAAGGGTATGTCGTGGATTTTACATATCTGCACGAGACACGGAGATCTGGCGACTAGCATGCGTTAGGTAAATATCGATAAATATTAGCGTGGTTATTGGTTGATATGTAATTGGAATTGTTTTCAATTATAGGGTATGGGGCGTAAATTGTGGTACTTGCGAGCCAAAATACAAATCGTGGAGGGATATGTACTTGAAACGGCCTAGATTAAGATACAACGGATGTTACATCAATAAAACAAGTTACATACGCGACGGAGAAAATAATTTCCAAGACCGATATTACAGACCGTGGCATCTTGTTGAATATTTTCGGTACCTGAGGTATGCAAAAGTAATAGTGCTAATATTTGCAAAAATTCTATTTTCTTACCGCAGTCACACTTTGGCATCTAAAGTAAAAAATTTTTCACGATATTCTTTTTGCGCTTAGATTTTTTCCCGAAGGAAGAGTTTTAATGTTGACATCGACTGATGAAGCTCAAAGCTGCGTAAATTCTTTACGAAATCGCGTACCACGTAACCCATCAGTTCTTGTTGGTCATTTTCGATTACATGATAATTGTGTTACACTTGTGTTGAAAAGGCAGGAAACTAAAGGAATCAATTTCTATAGAAGGAAAAAAAGAGAACCGGTGCATGATAGCGGTGAACAAACGTTCCATATTGTAAGTAATAAAGACTAAATATATCTGGAATTGAAAATTATGTACAAAAATCCAGTCAATACGTTTTCACATTTGTCACGTTCATGTCATGTAGGAATTCGAGATACAGAATCATCATAGAAGAGTTAACTCGCAACTGAAATGGATCAGCTACAGTATTTTCACGAAATATAAAAATGGACAGGAAGCGAAGATTTGCCTAAAGGAACCATCCGTAAGGGAATTCAGGGCGTCGCCGATTGGCGGTAGATATCCTCCTCTTAAATTCAGCAGGGTAAAGAGTTACACTCAGGAGAGCGAAGTCCCGTTATAGTAATTACTGTATAGCTCCTCTGATCGACGGCACCTAAGCATTTCATTCTAATTGATCGTATGAATGCATAGTCCGTGTCTGACGAGTTGTACTCTCTAACTCCATTCTCTAAGATACCCTTCCACCGTTCAAATAATTTAATCAGCTGTTTCGGTTACATCAACGAATTCCAATTGAGCAGGCAATCTTTTATCTTTGGCGCTACAAAACTGCTGGATAATTCATCAAGTTTGTACGGTTTCTTATATAACTCTGCTTATATACATATATCGCTAGACACTGGAAGTTTTCTATTAGGCTTCAGTTTTTCACCTTCTAAAGCTTAATCTACACTTCTATAACAGTATCTGACTTTTTCTTATTGCTATTACGTTACTTCCACCTCATCGTCATCTTTCTTTTCTAAAACGTACTCCACTGGCGCGCTTATTCTTTTCAATTGCTTACTTAAATCTTTACCAGATTCAAATCTCTCATCTAAATCTAGAATATCTCTTCTATTAATTTACTATTTTACTTCATTTTGTTATAATATATAAATAAATTACGATTATATATTGGTCGTGAAATACAGCAATAATTTAGCGCCAATGATAATTGTATGCCTTTCTAAACTACCCATTTTGCTTCTCATCAGCAATGAATTTACTTGATTGCGTTTTTTACGCAGGCCCACGATATCGCTGTCCAAATTCTATATACATATAAATAATCTCGGGTACTCGCAATTCTCCAGCTCGCGTAAGGATACACGGAGCGGTTTCGCGCTGCGTGTGTACTTGACGCGAGATATTATCGTGTCTCTTGATGGAAATGTCTAACAAATCGTATGAATCATGACAGTACAATTATTGAATTATTCTTACAGAAGAAAAATAAATTAGTGAACGTAGTAAATTCTCAATATGTTATAAAATTGAAAATCAAGATGAATATCTAATTATAATTAAATGTGCTTTTTCAAATTATAAGTACATATAATATATATATATATATTTTTTTTTTCAAGATATTTATTTATCTTATATCACGCGTTGTATTCTATAACAACAGTTTCTATTAGTACATTATACAACCTGCAAATCACAACTATTCTTTAAAGAATTAATTATGTCGATAGTATGTCCAATCACATGGAAGTGTAACTTATTTATAGATCTAATATATAATTATTTAAGCACTAGAGTTTATAGTGCCTTACATCATTTCGCAATGAGTTACATGCTTACGAACTTAAAGTGTATACTCAAGAATGTAATAATATGGTTTTGTTTACAATTAATTATTGCTCAGCTATAGTTAAGTTTAAAAATGTGTTAATTGAATAAAATTTATGTAAATTTTTAAAATTATGTATATAATTTTATATAATTATATATAATAAATGGCAAGCACTGAAATTTATGATCTTATTTATGCAATAAAATATAACGATATACACTCATGTGTGGTACAAAATGCAACACGTGTATATTAATTTTTGCGAGATATGCGAAATGTATATTCTGTATTACTATCAATTGCTTTTGCTACTAGATAATTTTTACACAAAATCGCAAATCTCTATAATCGACTTTTGCTGTGTATCAATTAGCTATATATTTTATAATACGACGTACTCATCTAAATCGAAATTTACATTTCTAGGTTTCCTATTTCTGCTTTGAAATAGAATTTAGCTGATCTTTAGAATAATTTTATTACGAGTTCAATATCACTTGAACGATGAATTATCTTACTCTATAGTGGAATCGAACCACTGATATATTGAAATAATTTTTGGATGTATTATAAAGCGTAACTGATTTAAAGAAATGGACGTTCAGAAATATGTATATTGGATGATTCTGATAGAAGTCTACACGGTCCGAAGATTTTTAATCCTGCTCGAATACAATTTCTCCGTACCTCTAAATTGTTTTAAACTGTTCCTCAAATTTTGTCTTAAATATAGTCTGACGCAATTACATATTTTTATCAGTTTAATCGAGAAATAAAATAGTTTCAAAAATTACATAAAAAAAATACGTTTCTCTGAATTCTGAAAAATTAACTTGTTCTCAGCACAATGTTACCGATTATTTTAGTAAAATAGCTTTAAGTTTGAAATAGTTTTTAATCATTTGTATTCGATCTTAATTCAGTTATCACTCATACTATCAAGTATGGATTGGATTCTTGAATACGGACGCGTGTAGACTGCTAAACTCCTGGTTGTTGTATCACAACGATGTACTTGTATTGCTTTCCACATCACCTTTAATACTTTCCCTCATTATACATTAATAAAGTACGTACAATTGACTCTAGTAAATTTCTAACTTTTTTTCAATAGACTTATTTGTTCTTCAGGTAACTATGTAAAAAAAAATTAACGAGTTACAAGGAAGAATCGTAAATTTCATTTTGCGTAAGTCATTCCTAATACTTGAATTGTTATCTGACGTTTTTCTCTCTTACTGGAAGAGATATAGATTTTTTTATTCTATTGTTAGATTTTTAAAATCAACAGACAATTTAAAATCTGCAGAATCTGTGTGCAATTAATTTTGAGATTTTTAATTTAAATATATCCTCAACAGTTACAATAAAAGAAAATATATGCACTTTTGATATAAATGTATCAACTTCATTAAAATGGAAAGAAAACATAAATGATATTTCTTGCTAGTTATGTTGTTGAAAGCAGATTTTAAAATAAAATATTTCCCCTAACACATTAGACAAAATAATCTTACACATCTTTCTCGCATCATACCCGTCAGTTTCCGTTCACGTTCTTTGCCTCTTTGCGTGTGTTTGCAGTAAAACTCCATAAATATCCCATTACTGTTAAACATTCGATATGATAAGTAACAGTACTTTGTACTCATGATTGTACCTAAATCGTCCCGTAATGATCACATTAATTAAGTAACTCTGTATTAAACTCTGTTATATATATATATATATTTTTTCTTTTCAATATCCTTAACTTTATCTAATATAGAATTCAGCACTTTCTGGTCTCCAAATGTCGAAGCACTCGACTAATCGCCGGTTGTTATAGGCTCGGTTTATCACAGACTGCAGCAAGCCGTCGCGTTCTTCATGATTCAATCACAATTCTTCGCGACCCGAAGGAAGAGAGCTTGTTTTATTGCACGTAGACGGATCGGACATCCAGGCGAGGTCCTTCAAGGTTGCGGTATGCATGGAACATACCGCTAGGACGACCATTACATGCATCACATTATGGGAATTCAGCACTAGATCCAACTTGCCGGGGATCCACTTCTCTGGAATGCGAAGAGCGCCAATGGTTGCACCTATCACAGCTATGAGATCCTGGAAATAATTCCTACATCAGCATTACTTTTAACATCATTTGGTACACGCGGCTGTCTGGGATTATAATTCAAAATGAACCTGTAATATTATATGAATAAGAGCCTCGGGTGATCCGCCACCAATGCCGAAACACCTCAGAGTCATGACCAGCATTCTCATTAGGAAAGGAGGGGCAAAACATAAACGCCTCTCCCATGGTGATCTCGCAGTCATTGCCTACGAATTACGTAAACGTTATTTAAAATTTTTTTATCGCAACGAAACATCCGCGAAGGAAACGTGAGCTATAAAATACCTTTAAAAGTCCCCACATACTAAGGGAGCAATAAATAAAAATGCAGCAATACCAGACGTTATCGGCCAGGCAATGAACAGCGGCTGCCATCATTGGTATAGCTCCTGAAATGAGTTGTGCATGAAATAGAGAAGCGTCTATTTGCCACTATATAGAACTGCTCGTAGGCACTCCTTATTTAAAACTTTCTTCGTTTGAAGCAGGAGTCGACCAATACAACAATTTGTCAGATCTGCTTGAAATACGAAGAGAGTCATTTGTAAAATAAAATCTTGCAACGTGCGAGCTCTCTAGTCATATACATATATGTTCTTTCAGCAGATTCTAAAAGGCTTTCATTTCTAAATGGATCACACACCGAAACTCTGGCACAGCCATATGCCGATCATGTCGACTTTCAGCAGTGTTCTGTAGAGAACTTCGTCGTAGTTTACGTTCATGAAGAGGTGGTACAGGAAGGATCCGACCCACGGGCTAACCGCGCCGATCAAGTGGCACCAGGACAGAATTCCCACGAGTGTCCCTTTTGTGTTCCATGGGAGTAGATGTGGTACAGTCACCAACATGTACAGAATAGCGAATCCTGTAAGCACACAGGATGCTTTCGGGCAAACGCGTTTTGCGAATCAAGTTCTTTAATGATGGAATATAATGGTATATACCGTGAGATTGCGATGATCTTTTATAAATTCTTCATTTCGGCCTTCGACAAGTTCAACAATCATACTTTTTATAAAGAAAATTTTGCTACGTCCCGTTAAAAAAAACTGCAATGTTTGTCAGGAGTAAACTTTAACAAACTTTTTAATTTCTGTGAATTATCTTCTACTTGCAAATTCCATTGATAATATCACATTACATTAATAACGTAAGACGTGAGAAACGATAATAGGAAAAGATTGATGTAGAGGCCGTCACAACACCGTTTAATTTTCTCAAAAAGTCATTTTAAGTATGTATATTAATGAGCTTCTCCACATATACGTGGGTAGCTCTGACCTACTAAGATTTTATTTCACGCACATGTGCGCCGGTCGATACATGAGATTTATATACAGGATGGTCCACCAGAAACAGAACACTCGAATGGCTCTTCTAGTTTCTCGTTTCTCCTTCGAACGAAAGGAAAAGGACAACGTTAAGGATACGTCGTATAATTTTAAAAAGAGGCTGAAAGAACTCTTTAGTCTCTCTAATAAAAAGAATGCGATTTCGGATGCGCATATATACATCGCATCGCCATTTGTTTTTTACGCGTAAAAAGCAGCGACGCCGTACAAACGCGTCAGTTATTTGTTACGTAATAAACCGTTCACGGTACGTTTAGAACGTATTTGACTGACATCCGGTATTGGAAATTTATCAATGAATCAGCTTTAACGGGGAAGGAATATCGTATGGGTTCGCTTTCATCGATCGTTCGTTACCCTGCAATGCGTCTTCGTTGAGTCGCGATGTTTTCACGGAAGTTGGCCTTGATAGTATGCACCGTGACTTTAAAGCCCTTAAGGGACTTAATCTACTTTCCTCAGTTAATCCAATCGCGAGGATGACGAATCTCTTACGTGACATGACCGTGTATTCTTTGGATGAAATATATATTGATGTGATGAAGAGTAACGACAGCTACCATCCTACGAATCACGTTCGTTTACCGAGTTTCACAGCGATTTATTTTATTTTGCAATGTATCATCTCTCTCTCTCTCTCTTTTCATCAAAATAATTAATAAAATTGAATTAATTCAAACCTATAGATATAAAATTAATCCAACGTCAAGAATCCACAGTAGATTCCTTGCGATCATTTTTTAAATTATTTTCTTATATGTTATGAGAAAGAGAGAAAGTTTCTTCTGGATACAAAAGAATCTTGCACGCACACTTTATCAACGTCAAACTTGTCGAAAAGTTCAACAGATAGTGCTCCGTTTTGGAGGTAAAAATTTTATTATCGCAATAAATAATTTTTACTCATGTTTTTTAGTGTATCTAATTCCAAAGTATTAAATTACTATTCCTGAATTAAAAATTCTCAGGACATTTAAAAAGTAAAAACAACCGTGACTCGCAATCAAAATTCTTTATATTACAATTATAGCAGTTAATGAATTTAGAATCATACAATCTTTCTCGAGATCTGCAGCATTCAATCTGTCAATCGCGCAAACAATACCGGGAAGGACTGGTCGACCTGGTCGTGCGACGGCAACGACGTTAAAAAAACCGTAGGACGCGATAGCTGGCGTTAAGATCAAAGTATGTTGAAAAAAAAGCGAATCACCCACACACAGTATCCTCGTTTGAATGATGAGTGATGACGTTAGAATGATAATCTAAATGAGACGTAACCGCGCCAGTCTTGGTCAGTCTCACCGTGCGTCAGGATGTTGACGGTCTCGTTGTGGATGTAGAAAAGGCTACCGAGGCACTGGCGGATGGTCATGAGCGGCCTGTAGCCGGTGAGGATGTGCGGATTGAATTGGAGGTGCCGCGGCATCTCGCTCCATCGTCGCAGCAGCAGGACCTCGGCCTCGGCCGGCGCGGGCGTCTCCTGCGGACGCGGCGTCTCGGCGCCGCCGGGCATCCTCTCGTCGTCCTGACACTCCTGACGCCGCGCTCCGTACGTGTCGGTGTCCTCCTGGTGCGGCGAGCCCGACACCGCCGCCGCATCGCGCGGTCGCTCGTCGTCCCGGAACGGCGTCGTGCAACGGGAACTTCGAACGCGCGGTGCCCGCTACCTCGGGGGAAGAGGGCGCGGTCCGGCCAGCGGACGAAAACGCGCGACGCGCGAGGTACACGGGGATCGCTCCTCGCTCCTCGCTCCTCCGGGAGCCTCCGTACGAGCGCGAGCCGCGAGCCCTCAACGGCGGCGACGTCGCCACTGCATCGTCGTGCCCGTACTGCCCGCCGCCCGCCGCCCGCCGCCGCGCCGCTGTAACGGGTTACCCGTTACCCCCGTCTCGGCAGCAGCCGTCATCCGCACGCGATTCGGCCTCTCTGACGGTCCCGTCGTCACGGCAACCGCATCGATCCCATCACTCGGGACTTGGGGAGTCGGGCGGTTAGGAGGCAACCAGAGGCAACCTCATCGCGCGCGATCTCGCCGCAGGCCGCAGATGCTCCTACCTGGCTCTCCTCATCGAGTAAATGGGTCGTAACTATACAACTTATGACTTGGATGGGAAACTTAGTTACGTTATAGTTTAATAACGTCCCTCGCAGTGTTTTCCATTTTTCCTGATGATTTTCCGGGGTATTTTGTTAATATTTTAAAAATGATTTAAAAATGATCTGGAGAGATTTGTGACTTCGTATCGTTTATTAGTTTATTTATTTCAAAACGATACGTGGACTTTAAACATGATTGCGCACACTTGTTATGTTACAATTAACGTGTGGAAAATTGGGAACTATATATATATCTTTAACGATAGAATTTTTCTTTAACCGACAAAAGGACATCGATATGATTGCGCTTTAAACGGTATTAGAATTTTAAACAGGACACGTAGCTGGCGTCTGGCGTGCAGCCCCTAAATGTTCCATAGATCTTCCACGCGTGACCTATTGACACACGTTCGGTGGTTGAGTGTTTTTGAGTTAATATGCTATGATGGATCGTCTCCTGTCCCCACCCCGCTCGCGTTATACATTATGCAAAATATACTATTTCAAGCTTGATCGACTTGCATCAATAAAGCTTCGTCCTTGCAGTTCACGTACATAAAAACTATTGTGCTAGAAATAAAACAAATCGAAGGGAAGCTGAAGAACGACTGTATTTATCGTCAGTAAATTTGTATGAGGAAGAGTGTCGCGTTTGTCTATCAATAGGGATGAAAATCTACCCCAAAGAAGTGAGGAGATTTAACAGTTGCATTACTTTTAAAATGTGATACTGCATCCTACAGAAGATGAAACTTGATGAAAGAAGGAAGAGAAACATTGAACATTATATGTACATACATCATTAGGCATTTTATTCGTACGTAATATTTTCCGTATACTCTATTACACCACGTTGTAAACGCGTTTTCAGTGCATTGATACCACCCCTCGGCCCTCGACTGACGTTGTCAGCGAAAGTTGATCGTAGCTTGTTCCTACGTCAAGCGCATCGTACGTCAGAGTCACTCAAAATCCGAAAGAGCGACAGGAACGCGACTTGAGTCTTCGTCGGCGACTTCTCGCGGCCGCTGCCGTCGGGGACACGTTCCGGTCCACAGCGTTTCTCTCGATCTGTAAGTCCGCATTCGCTAGCGTAATCTTACGATTATAGCAATAAGATCGCGGCGGCGCCGCGGCGCCGGCGCAACGTCTTATGTCCCGCTCAGCCCCGCTGTTTCCTGCCTCTCACCCCCTCTCGCCCTCTAAAGCCTGTTTTAGGACTCTCGTAGGCGACTCAATGGATACAATGGATACCAAACGTCCCGAAGGACCACCTGCCGTCGACCTTGACCCGAAACGTCCGCATGTCCTACTCGGGGTGAGCTCCACCGCGACGGCGACGGCGACGGCGACGGCGCCGGCGCACCCCGACGACGGGGTTCGCTATCTGCGGCAAGTACTCCTGGTGAGTGTCACGCGCGCGCGTATGATGTGTGCAAGTACCGCGTTGCGTTCCCTCCTCGAGCTGTCCCGGAGGGGTGTTTGCGGCATGCCCCGTTGCTTGACACGTTGGACCGGCACCGGCCACGCTAGTCGGCCGTGTCTCGCCGTAAAGGTAGCCCGCGCACGTCTGATCTGATGAACCTCTTCTGGGTTACGACGTCATCCTTAGATCTAACCCCCTCCCAGTTAAGCCTTCGTCTGCTACCGCACAGTGGGGCTGTAGCCCCCCTGTTGAAAAGTAACGGCAAGTGATTAACCGAGAATTTACGTAGCCCTGCGCCGCGTGTCGATGCACGTCGCGTGCGAGATCTCGTTTACTCCGTCTTTTACTCCGACGTACGCTGCTGCGTATATAAGCTGTGTTTTGGCGCAAGTCTATGGGTGTCACGTGGTCTCGCGCGCGAGACACGAGAGCTTGCGCTAGATATATCGACGTTCTGTCAACTGAGTAAAGATAACGTTCTTTGCGTACGCGCGCGTACGTTTTCTATATAAACGGCGGTAGCGAAACTCGCCCAAACGCGCATCTCCCGTAAAATACACACACATTTTCCGTTTCTCACTTGTTCGTTATAAACGGTATACGCTAACGGTTTCTTAGAAGAACATTTACGTCGTATAAATATCTGTATGTTAAAATTCTTTTTATAAGACCTACGTGTTAGTTTAGTGGAATAACTATCTGACAACTGAATCTACGTGGAGTCACCCGGCATCTCATTTGTCGCAAAATGTAAACTTTACGCGCAGTATCGAGGTTCTCCATCGTAATATTGTAACAAACGCTGTGATCCGGTCTAACTTGAACTCTTCTCTGTCCGCAGAACACCTGCAGAGAACTATGGACGATCCCGGAAGGTGCGCGCGCGACGACGGCGGCAAACTACTTCTCCCATGACCAGTTCAAGTACATCTCGTTTGGCGTAGTAACTCAGGTAAAAAACGTAAACGTCGTAGCGTTAAATAAAGCGACTCTCGCTGGTTTTAAATAAGCAACCCTGGATCACGCGCGCTGCAAAAACCGCGCGTTTTCGCGGGCGAGAAGTACGTCTCTCGTGTACGTCTATTCGGTAGAACGTACCTTTACTTATCAGCTATCTACATCTGGGACGACTTCCACGCGTTCTTTCGTTGTCTCAAAGTCAGTGCGGTTTCTCTTGAGTGGCTCTCTTCTTCTTCTTCTTCTTCTTCGATAACACCCAGACCCTCCGGGTCCACGATGGCTAGTATCTCTCAGTATCTCTCGAGTGGCCCGTGTCAGCTGGCGCTGAAGAAAAAAAAAGAAACAAAGAAATGATAACAATACAGCTCTCGTTCAAACGACACTCGCGGTGTGGTGCCACCTACGAGGGCCATGGGCCATGGGCCATCCCGTCAGTTGTCGGCCGACGGCCTGGTCTCGTTCGTCTCTATGTGTGTCTCGCCGAATACATATATGTTTACATGCTCGTCTCCTGCTGGCCGCTGAGCCCGCCGAGGACTCCTTAATTTACTCGCAGTCCTTCGCCAAAGTCACGTATAATATGCTCTGGCAGATGATAGAGCAACTGGTGCAGAAAGGCGTCACGTGGCTAGCTAAGAAATATGCTTGGAGCAAGGTACGAAAAACGTCTTGGCCAGGGTAAACGTGTGCGGGGTGCGTACGGTGCGTAAAAGCGTGTTTACTTGAACGCCTCAACTGATATCGCGTATCATTTATAAGACGTCGTCCACGCGTACGCGACGAACGTCGTTCTGAAAGTTTTTACGTGGACCAACATTCCCGAATACGCTTATGTCGCTTACACACCGTCGCGACGTGTCTTTTCTTCACCTTTCGAGTATTTCTTGAAGCTTTCTTCTACGCGCCGCGCGTACGCGTGTCGTGTCGTTATCGTTATGACTATGATGTTATTATCTACGATAGTGGATGTAATACAGTTTTACCACTGTGTCGTATAGACACCGCGTAGACGGTCTCTAATATATTTGTGATGCGTTTCAAAAAGTCTGAACGTCTATCTGGATAAAAGTAAGTAGGGCGAAAGGTCACGTTTATCACGCGACGGCCTGTGTATGTACGAGGCCTACGTTGGAACGTATTCAAAAAACGCCGCACGATCAAGACGTTTATTTCACGACGCTGCGCGCGCGCGCGCTCGCGAACGTGGCGTATGATAGACGAAACTTTTTCCATCAACGCGGAACTTCCGATCGTCCGGAGTAGTTAGCGCGTTCGTGCGCCGTCGCTTCGCTTCGTGCGTCCGCGACTAGTTGCAGGACGGGACCAAGTTTAATCTTTAGGGGCACGTTACGGGCACAGACGCGCAGAGGCCGCAGAGCCGTGAGCAAGGAGAAAGTCGTAAAGAAGTTAAGCAACTTATGACGTCACATACATTTAAAAAACCGTGCGTTTATCGTGGTAAAAGCTTATATTGATAAGTTTGCTTATATTTGCACGCTTATCATCAAGGCCGGCGAGTTCGTAATGTTTAATCACGTTGTGACGTATAGAGCTCGCCGTGTCGGGCTCGGGCTCGGGCTCGGGGTGTCGATAGAGTCGGCCCTGGCTCGTCGAGAATCGCCGAGAATCGCCGAGACGCGCCGAGTGGAGCCGCGCAGCGCGCAGCCGGAGCGGAGAGGACTCAGAGGACTCGCCAATCGCCATTCGCTATTCGCATTGATCCAAAGTCCCAGTCACGTCGTTGTCACACACAACACTGTCGTACGTCGCACATTGTCGGTGCTCTTGGGTCATTCTTGTGTTTAGTGGGTTCAGTTCTGGGACCAAAGCGAGCCTATTCTGCCTATCCGACGTAAGTCCGCACTCCATAACGTAACCCCGCATCCAGCTCGTGACGTGACTAACGAACGGTACCCTGCGCTGTGATATTCGACTGGGATCTAGTACGTGTATGGCTGCCGCGCGCCTTGGTGCACTCTCTGTAATTCCAAGATGGCCGCCGCGCCGCGGCTCCGAAGGTTTTCTCCCTTATGGTGTATCATCTGCGTCCTCCTCACACGCAACGCCCTCGCACGCTTTCCATTTTTCGCTTTTAAAAAGCCGCCCCGCGCGGCGAAGGGCACGCGCGCGCGTTCCCCGTTTCCCCCCTCGCTCGCGATCGCGCCGTAGACGTCGACGTCGACGGCAGTCGAGATGCCTGAGATGCCATCCTCGAGGCACGATCCGCACGCGGCGCCATCATCGATCCTCGAGTTTCGACGGCCGCGGCGAAGCCACGCGCGCGCCTATGTTCACGACATTAACCCAAACATTAACCCACGTTCTCGTTCTCCCAGTCTCCCTCGTCCGCGTACGCGTCGGCCGTCGCGCGTTTTGGCGGGATCGCCCGGGACGTACCGATCGGGTCGGGTCGCGAGTGACGCGCGCGCGTCGAGTCTCGATAGGTGATAGGTGTGACGCAACGCGAAAGATGCGTGGCCTGCGTGGCTCTATTTAAAGAGAAGGAGAGAGAGAGAGAGAGAGAGCGAGAGAGCGACGCCACTCGCGCGTCTCGTTATCTCGTCCCCGCGCTGTGATCTGTGATCTCCGTTTCTCTTTTCCCCTCTTCCCCTCATTCCCCCTCTCCCCCTCTCGCAGAGTGGGCTAATCTGTTACGGCGGTGTCTGTGGACGCTCTCACGAATGCGACTGCCCACGTTTTGCAGAATTTTTTGAGCCGATGTCCACGTGGTTGTCGAAAAACAGTGTCATACCGAAAGCGTCATCCTCACGCTCCTGGATATCGTCCTTCTTCGATTTCATTTGGGATCAAGTGAGCCAGTTCCGCCTTTCCAACGTAAGTACACGCAGTATGGCTCTGTATGGCTCCGGCATCATAAGATACCGGGTTCGGCTACGCGGCTCCCTCTCGGCTTTCGACTCTCTATTCGGCATTCGGCGCCCGTGACACGCGTGACTCCGCACTCTGCCGCGACGCGTTCGACGGCCTTCGACTTGGCGAAACTCGCGAGTCGCGACGCGCGTGCTGCCGTCCCCCCCGTGTAAACGTCATCCGTTCGCTCCGCGTTTGTCGACTCGCGATCGAACGTACATATGTACCTACCTGCTCATCTTGTCGCACCTCATTTTCATTAATTTTAATCGCACGCACGATGGTCTGGCTCGGTTACATTCAACTAACTAACTCATTTTCTAATACTGTATCTTACTGTATCTTTAACATGTAGCGTGTTAAAGATACACCCTTTAGATGTTAATATGTAACTGTTCCTTTAATTGTTGGAAATGTAAAAAAATATTTTGAAGGACATATTTGGTTTCTAGAAAGGTCTCTCCGATGATTATAGACTCGTCTATGTTTTACATTTTTTACATTGTTTGTTATGTCTTTGCCTAAAAACCTAAATATATCTTTTTTTTATCATTTCTATATAATGAAAGATATAATATTAATCGATTATTTCTAAACTGAATTATGTGTGCATCAAATGTCTAGATTAATGAGCGTGTAGAGATCTTAGATAGTTTTTTCCTTCCAAATTTCAACAATTCTCTATACCTATAATATGGGCAGAAAATAAAGACTGAATAAATTAATTTAGCAGACGCAACTTTACTAGATGCAACTGTTTTCTCGACGAGGGAAAAAATCAATTCTTTCTCGCTCGTGCGGCATATGCTTCATATATTTTCTGCGCTTGAAACGGAGCGAATGTAAAGAAGTGCCATATAAATAATGCGAGCAGACTTTACGACAACCGGCAACATTAAAATCACAACGCGCATCTGTGCTTGTGCTATCGCTCATTTTTCTATCCTCGCCTAGCTTGTGCACACTGGCTTCTTTTATTCTGCCTCTCTTCATGGAGGGACTGCGATGAAAAGCGGCTGGAAATAATCTCGTCGACGTTCAATATTTAGATTAGCCACTGAGGTTTCTAAAACAACATCGTTAATATCTAATACTTGTGTCTAGTTTTTTTTTGCACTGCGCAGAATTTTATACAGAAAATAATAGGCGTTACCGGTAACATGCATTTATGTCTAGGATTAATATTCTTATCTATTTACATAATTAACACTTTTCTGAATTAAACTATTTTATTTTTGACATCAAAGTACTTGATCTGGTTTGTCAACAGATCTTGATGTTGAAAAAAGCTCATCTTTCAGTATTCGTTAAAGAATCTGTAATTATAAATATATAATTAAAATATAAAATATACTTAAAAATATAGTAATGGTAGAAAATGTGATATTTTTGTACATGTTACAAGTAAAAAATATATCGTTTTTGTTATAGATGCCGCGAAGCAGGAGGCGTCACCGCTCTCGTAGCCACTCGAGAACACGTTCACATTCTGTAGGTTCCCCACAATACGAGCATAAACGCAGACGTATCGATTATGAGAGTCCACCGACCAAAGGAACTTATAGGTAAGTGAACGTGTGTAATCCTCGAACAGAATGTATTCTTTTATTATCTCCAACATTGTGTGATACAATACCTTCTTTTCCTGACGCCCAATTCGTATAATAAGAATTTACACAAAACTACTTTTAAAATAACTACTTAATCTGTATCGCTCTGTATCACCATGATGATATTCAAGGAATATTTATTAATAACGTTTAAGAATTAGATAATACAAATTAAAATGTAATTAAACCGTATAAAAGATGAACTATCGCTAAGGCGCGTCAAAGCGTATTTTAACAGAAAATTTAAAATCACGTATGAAAGTAATTTTACTTTATAACGATCTCGTTAAACACTTATTCTGAGAATACCGAATACACATGTCTTCCCGTCTCCCATTGTCAAAGAAAGTTGCAATGAAAAGGGGAGAGCGCACGAGAGAGGGAACCAGTAGTTGCGCTGAGACCAATACCGCGAACTCTCCCCCTCTGTTCCCACGTCATTCTAACCGGCAATAGAGCTTCTCCATGGTTGTCTTCATGGCTGTCAGTCGTGATCCGTGCGCTCGAGCTTCAACAAGTCCCACCCAAGACCTGTTTTTGACCCTCGTTATTTGGAACGGTTTATGAAGATATACGTGTGTGCCGATGCGAGTGCCTCGTCGGCGTCGGTGACGCTCGCATTCGCTGGGGAATAAATTCATGTCGAGCGTGATTTGCGGAGAGATAAAGGAGCGTTTTTGTACGTCCTTGGGGAGGGTGTTTCCGAGGTTGAATTTTGCAAATTTATGAACGCTTAGAGTTTTATTTTGTCAAGTTTCAAAGAGGTATAACGAATACTAATAGCGATCCGAATAATCTTCAAAACTGAAACACTGAATGTTCAAAGTGTTTCCAGATTGACATTTTCACTCTGCGCGCTTGGGGAAGATACAAGTTTATGCTAGAATCACTTTAGATGCAAAGAGAGAAGTCTTGAGAATACAATCGGTCTGCTTCCGTTGCGCAAACTCCATGAAGTGCAACGAATCACTATGGAATATTTATTTATGTAGTACCGCAATCTGCCGCGCGTACACGTCTTACTCGTTTTACTCGTCTTACCGCTGTGGCTAACAACCTGCAAACTTTGCGAAACGCTAGACGAAGACTAGAAAAAGAATGCACGAACGAGAGAGTGGTGTTCTAAATAATATTTTTTAATTCCAGCTTGCATTTATATCAGGCATTAGGGTGCAAGTCGGCGCAATAGTGAATATACAATGTCCCACGTTAATATTTAATGTTACCTTGACATTAATTATTAATAGGCTGTTTCCGTGTGTTCTGTAAGCAAGATAAAAATTTTATATTTTTTTATGATAGAATTCTCGCGTCAAATATACCGCTCTTGAAATTTGATACCACGTAAGCTCTCTGAGACACTCTTATATTCACATCGTGCTTCATTAACCATGCATCTCGAGTAGCCGCGTGAGCGTGAGTCATGCAGAATGCGGGCACGAATTACCAATTAATTAAAACGCTCTTTATACTTCTCTCTTTTAATTTAAGACCGCTGTGAAGACCTGCTTAATGAATGGTAGTAATTTCTTCTCCGCATTACTTCCTGATCTTCTAGGTCAGTGACTGAGCACGATTAAGCCCGGCGATATCGCAGTAAAATCTTAAATGAACCAAGTACCGTTTCTCTCGCGTCGTAATAAATGATAGTGATTTGCGGGGTTTGCGTCTGTCTCGCTGAAAAAAAATGCTATCGATCGCGCAGGACCGAAGGGATCAAAGATGCAAGGACGAATTTTACGGGGGAATACAATAATCTACGAGCAAAACGCTTTTAGCTACGAAATCTTTGGCTACGCGATGTTACATACGTCTTTTTTTTTTTACAGCCAGCTTTAAAATCAGATGGTAGCAGATACGCGTAGTTGCGTCACGATGATTTGTCGCAATACGGCATATTGTGATTATGATTGCCGCGAGAATGGCTCACGTTGAAGGCTACAACGTAAAAGATAAAATGTTTCAACGCGTTTCTTTCGTGCACCGAAACCAGGTTACAATTTGTACACAGAGTTTAATTTTCGATGTTGTACATAGAAAATGCATCTTGTGCAAATTGTCGAGTCTTACTCTTGTTTATGCAAAATAAATGCAAGGATATAATCGCTTACCCTTAAATTTGAATTTCAAAAAAAAGTATCTCCGGTTGAACTTGCACTAATTGTGCCTATTAGTGGACGCCGTACGTTACTGCGGATACAATTTATTCTTGCAACGGTAAACCGTAATGACGAACGCTTTTTCATGCTCGATGACGTGCTCGATGAAAGAAGAAAGTCCATTATATATGCGGAGTCTCGCACGCGATTTTCCCATCGATGAGAATCATCAAAATTGAGGGAGCGAGCTGACCTTAGATTAACAAGCAATTGGAATCCGCCTGCGTTTGTTTCGTAGAAAAATATTTGCTTGTGCATCACGGCATTGCAAATCACGAGTCGCTGTCGACATTATCTCAGAATTGAATTAATTATGATTGATAATCGCGCACGTCTCCCAGACGCGCGTTAGAGCTCGCTTGGCTTCTCTACGAGCGCAGCTGTCGAGTACAGCTATCTGTCAATAACACAACTGGCACGTACGATATTTTCTCGGACGGGCAAACAATTTCACGGCCTGTTTTCGATCGTGTTTGGAGATAATGCGCTTGCAAACCATAGATATTTAGGCCTCTCGATTGATCATTTCTCTGTTTGTTACGATAGCACATTGAAGTTTTACAATTACATGGCTCCGACAAAATCACAGACGTTGAATCATCATCGTATTGAGGATAATCGAGCTATTCGTCTGCAATCTTTTCCGCTAGGATCACTCGTTCACTGAGATCACGCGAGCTTTGGCAAGGTCAGGGTCGGTCGGTCGGTCGATCGGTCTCGAGCAGCTTGATACCGACTGGAATCATCATCGCGTGCAAGCATAAGTGAAAGAGAAAGGAAAAGTTACAAGTTAATCTTTGCAACTTCACCGAATCGCTGTTCACTTCCTGCGATCAGCTGATCCCTCAGCGATTCTATTCAAAGTAGATCGGTTTATTGTATTTGCACAGTGAAAGTGTTTTCCCATCGGGTTTTCCAGAGTTGAAGAAATGCATTTGAAAGCTATAATTGCGGGTTATTTTTATCGTGCATAAAACGCTAACGATGTTAATATTCGCTATAAAGATTTCCATCGTCGCAATTAGTGTAATCGCACCTACAGCTTTCTAATCGCGTTATGGCGAGAGAAACATCACAGATTCTCGAAAGAGAAGTAAAAATCGTCACGTGTATTTTATATATATACATATAAAGATTTTATAATTTTTATTAAGATTCAAAAAACTTGAAACCAGACAATTGCTTATCAAAAAATTACTTTAAAGATATAGAAGTAAATATCTTTAGATAATTTTTCATGGCGATAATTTTACTTAAAATAAACGAAGTGTCAATTATTGATAATATTAATGTTATCGAAAAAGGGTCCAGAAGATTTATATACATACAGCTCTATCTTAGATTGTGATAAACATTGATAAACACGCGCATTTGATAAACACTATTATAAACTGGAGATATTTGCTCGATAAATCAACATTTCCCTATCATTCTTTAAACAATTGAAGTCAAGCGGGTTTCGACTAGCAATTATTTCCGTAAAATCGAATCGAACGTCACGAGTCTTCGTTGGAATCCAGGTTGCAAGACGGACGAAAATTAAAGGATGCCGGTCCTGTACGTTGACCTCGCTTCCTGGATGCCAAGGTATAGTATGAATGGAACAGTGTATTCTTTCAGAAACGAAATAATTTTGTATCCGTAATTATCTTAAATATAAAGAAAATTAAAGTTTCTTACAGGAAGAAATAATCTCATAAATAATTCATCTAAAGAAAGAGTAGGAGAGAAAGAGACGTGCAATATGCGAATGACTGATTGTTATATGATCAACATGTTGTTTTCTTAGACAACATAATTTTACGTACGTCGTTTTGCTTTGTAATATCCTGTCCGCATTGTGACTGCGCTATAGCGATTATGTATAGAGATAAAGTCGTTATCGTTCCTCGTAAATTTATTGACCTGCATCGCACAAATACACGACACACAAAGTAAAATATAGCTGTTTTTTTTTCGGGAAGTATTTTTGCTCCTTTTATGCAGTCGATTGTGTAGCGATATTTGCCAAATCGTGGGTGGTAAAGTTAAGGGTGAAACTGATACCCGATGACGATCCTCCTCTCGTGTGCCCTATTTAGTTATTACATATTACATATTATCGACGAAATTTTCGACTTGGACAAACTCCACGACTCGGTGACGAATTTTGTTTTTCTACTTCCGCGAAACTGCTTCTCGATCGGCCGATTCTCTGTTAATCGAAGAAATGCTAAAACGAGGAAAATTAAAGCCATTATTGAAACAACATTTTTGATTACAAATTTATGTTTGCTGAGCGTCTCGCAAATTAGCATCCAGCAGTGCTCACGCTGGAAAGTTTTCGCGAGTGGAAATCTTCAGACAAACTCTTAACTGCCTGCTACTGGCAGATTTGAATCGTTGCTTGACCATGAACTCATCATACGGTTGATGCCTCTGCGCAGAAAAAAAAAGCGAAACAATGGCCGTCTGGCATGTCACTTGAAACGATTCATCGGATTCTTTTGCGTGCCTCGACAGCTAGTAATCTGCTACTAGCTACTAGCTGGAACAATAGCTTCTTCTTCATATGTATTTGCTCGGTAGATTAATCCAAGTTAATCCCTTTGTGTGCAAAATTTTTATTGGTTAAGGAATTGAAATTCAACGTTGTTGGAGCTCTGCCCAAACTGCCCAAAGTTTCTTGACGGTTTTCGTTTCGTATTGTGAATCATCGGAACGCGGCAAACGAATTTTCAAGCCTTTTCAGTCGCGCTGTAGTGACTGTGATAAAAATACCCCGTGTATTCTTACATAGCTTCGAAGGAGTAATGTTGCATTGATGAGAGCAAGGGATATTTATAACTTAAATGATTCTCGCGCGATTATTATCGCTATTATCTTTTTATGAGAGATATTGTCTCAATAAGTGATGTGTTCTACTGAAGAAACGTTGTTGACTTATTGATGATGAAACTATAGTACAACAATAAATAAAGTGTCTTGTACATATATCTATAATTAATAAAGAAGTATCTCGTCATTCTCCAACCAAGCTTGATAATCTATTTGAGGGGACGGCAGATTAATTGGGTCGTCCCACGGTTATGTACACGATTAAGAACATGTCATACGCGACACGACGCCAACCTTGATTTCCACTTAGTTTCGCTCCAGATCATGTTAAACGTTCGGCTTTTGCGCTACATTATCACTCGACACACACACTTTTAAATTGACTTGAATTAAATATTACAATATTTATTTTACGAGAACGATCTGTTTTTATAATATATTTTGAAGGTACTTTAAAACGATACAGAGTATACACTCTATCTTATTCCTCCGTTTAATGTCTCTCTACTCGAGTTTTAGTGTGACGTCTAATTAAAATAAATTAATTTTTTTTGTTTGCCTTGTTTTATTTATTTATTTTTTTTTTGTTTGCATTTCAGCGGAGAACGAGTGCTGAGGTCTCGGCAGCACGAACGGGGAACCAGTCAGGAACGTCGGTACAAGCGTAGTCATCGCCGATCACCTAGCAGCGGTCGACAGCATGGGCATCGCGAGCGTGATCGTGATCGTGTCCACCTGGCTCACCCCACGTCGTCCCGTCGTACGCGCCTTCACCGTCATCATGGTTCGTCGTCGCCCAGCCAGGAGCGGCACCGCCATCGATCGCCGTCCACCAGGAGTCAGGTGAGTCCGAGGGACAATATGACACACATATTAGCATCGATTATTACGCGCTCCTGTCCGCTATATGTTTTACTGCGCCGCGTGATACACGATCGATCTACAAACAGTTGATCCGATCATGTTTTCAACCCTTTATCTGCGAAAACATACACAGCAGACGCCTGTCGTACTCTATCGTACTTATCGACGATGTAATTGAAAGAAATCTTGAATTATTTGATATATGGAAAGCTCTTTTCTAACCTTCTTGAATCCATATTTAAAAAAAAAGATAAAGATTATCGTATGTTCTAATATATTTTCCATATCTTGAAACATATAATATTTATTTTTTTTATAATATGTATATACGATGGCTTGGAAATAATTTTCTTTATTCACACATACATGGAACGTACTCTCTTTAAACATCCTTGTGGAAACCTTGTGGCAAACTTTAATATCGATTACACGGATTTCTGTTTAATATAAGCATTTTATACACTTGTTTTTTCAACTTTTAATTAAACTTTTGACGCGAATTTGCACGATGTGTTAAATTATGCCATATAAAGCCTTATATTAAGCGATTAAAGTTTTAAATAATTCGCGAAATAATTCGCGAAATAATTCTTCGTACACGGTATAGCGAGGGTTAAGCTAAGTTTCGCATATTTCTTATCAAATTTCGAGCAAGCGATAATAATACACGCATGAAAGCGTGAAATGGAGCCAGATGCAGAAGCTGAGTCGAAATTAACGGACAGAAACAGTCTGTGAAGAGATTACCTTCTCAATTTCTAATTTAGTTTTTGGATAACGGTTATTCAATTCCTCGACATATTAAACGTGCGGATTAGTTCTTATACCACCTATCGAGCTTTGATACGTAGTAGAGACCCTTAATGATGATCGATATGTGGTAGCGTGAGGACGAGTAGGACACAGAGGGAGAAGAGTTAGCGCGTCGACGCGCTCTACCAAGTGAGAACAGTCTCTGGAGAATCTCGTGGCGCAACGGGTACGCCGGGTGTATACCCGGAGCGAGAATGCCGATGATTCTTCTTTCTTACTCGACGCCAGCTATTTTCGACCGGCGACTATTTTCGAGGGGGACTCGTCACGCGGTTTCGCCGCGGTTTTAGTGCGAGTTTGCGCCAGATGGCCAACGCAACATCGTCGCCGCCGTCGTCGTCGTCGCCGTCGAGGAACGTTGCGCCGGCCGGTTCGCCGAAAGCGGACGCAAAGGCTTCTTCGTCAGAAAGTACGGATTTGAAAGCGTCCTCACAGATTTTTGACCTGCTCATACATCCGAGCGTGGCGCATCGACGACATCTAAACTAAAACGAACGAAAGCTCCAGCTACTCTTTCGAATCGAGAAAGTGCCTCGAGAGTAACGAATTAATCTACGGAAAATTAATACTCCGTCTTCGAAAATGGGACGTTGAAGCAGAGTCGTGTCGATTTCCGTTTTATCGCCGCGGTAGGTAAAGTTTGGTGGCACGGCTGACGGCCCAGAATCGTTCAACCTGGATTTAGAAATACGCGCATCTTGCAGTTGGCAAGATGCGCTCGTGAGACGTGGCGCGAGGTGTAGGTGCCCGGGTGAACCATCTCTCGTTTCGCGCGTCAACCGTCAACCTGGATCCTGGAAGTTGGGCCGCCCTCGGCGGCGGCGGCGGCGGCGGCGGTGCTTTGGCCGATGGTGGTCCACCATCGGCCACGTCGTCGTCGTCGTCATCGTCTTTCCAGACTCAGGAATTGAGTCTGCTGATGCCTGGAAACGTTCCCTGGTGGCCGCGTCATGGGGATTGGGAAGCGTGGTTGCAGCGCAACGTCACCGAAACCACCAGGGAGTTCGACACGAAACTTGACGTCACTCCCGAAACTAACGATACATCGGCTTCCGAGGTAGCGTCGAGATTTTCGTATAGCTCCACGATATTCAATGTTAATTATTTGCTCGAGTAGGATGTGTATGTGCGTTTCGGTATGTGCGTGTTGTTTATGCTCGCTATTTCTGCGACCATATGCTGGCTTGAAACGTATTCCAATTCTAATCCACTTCTCATGCACTCGAAAATTTTATATCGTAATTTTGTAATCCTTTTTACTCTTGTTAAAAAAATCATTGATTATATTAAAAAGAAAAAATTAACCACGCGTCAAGACATTTGAAGAAGCAGAGTAATTTGAGCGTAAAAGTTTATTTTGTTTTAACTGTGAAGATATTAGAGTTCTATAATGAGTTTCAAGAAATATAAAATTTTTTCGTTTGAATATTAATTAAAGATATTTCTAATAGCTTAAAAAAGCTACGTCGTTCAAAATATCCGCGGAAATTTGTTTTTCTTTTGTAAAAGAGTTAACGTATAAAACGCGTGCGTTCATTTCTGTTGGCCGTCCGCCACGCAGCAACGGCGATGACGATGACACTGCGCGAGCCTACCGAGCTGATTAGCCGGCCAGGACTTTAACATTTAAGCTCGGCGCGTTGGGTTTTCTGTACAGCATGACGATCGTAGCGCACGCGTTTCAGGCCACCAGTTTATATTTGGCGTAGCCCATTCTCGAAGACGACGACGACGACGCAACTTGGAGAACGAGAAGCGTGTGCTCCAGTACGGCGCCCGCTTCCCTCCATCTTCCTCCCCGTTTTTAACCCGATATTACGGCCTAACCTTGGTCAATATTAGGTAGCGGAAGAAACACGCGTAACTCTTCGTAGCCCGAGCAACGGCGCTTTCGTTATCGCAACATGAGCGATTTGGCAGAAGTATTTTTTTCGCGATACGATAAAATACGATCCGTCAAGCGAAACGTTTATAGCGGTGATCCATATTGATTATGGCTCTTGCTGTTCTGCATTCGCGATCAGCGCGAGCATTGTATTTGGCCTCATTCTTCGAATTGCTTGTGTAACAATGGAATTTTTATAGAAAAAGCTCGGCCTTTATAGCTCTACACTTCTACAGGTTTACCGGACGATATTTAATCTGTTCGTTCTTCTTTTGATAAGAGAAACGTATATGCGTATCTGTATTTTTAAGTGGTCTGATTTCTAACTCGAGCCAAATTAATCAATCGCTTCGCCAGAAGATATTTTGGAGATGATTCTGAGACCGACACGATGCGGAGGTATCCGTGGGCGAGTAGTCTGCGCGAACAAACTGCGTATTTTGTAAACGGCGTGTATTTATACCGATACTCGGACTTAAAATCTACGACGATAGGATGGTATCTTCGACACCGCGACCTTGGAGACAATTCGAGCTTTATTAATAGTATTAGAGTCCACACGAACCTGTTCACTAATTTTTTGATCAAGCGCTTTTGATTTTTAGACCAAGTTTTTAGGATTTAGCGACGTGTGCTTTATTCATTCATTCATTCATTTCTTTTTGGATATTGGATTTTGAATTGTTTTGCTTATTTAATATGCGATACGATTGACTAGTTTTGATGATTCTCGAGTGAAATTATCAGATCTTACTCGAAGATTCTTTTATTCATATTTGCTTGACGTTTTTAAATCTAAAAATTAAGAGAAATGATAGTCTCGCAGTTATCATTGCGCGAGGACACTTTTTTTTTAGATAATCTCTAAAAACTTAGTTTTGTTTTGCTGATTGGAATAATAAAAAAATTTTGAAAAAGAATTTTAATGACTGGATAATTTAACACAGATGATTGTTTAGTTTCTCTTCTATCTCTTGTCATTTTTTCTTATGATTCTTTCTCCTCCAAAATCTTCCAGAGGAGACCTAAAGGCGCTTTGTATGCGTACAAAACGCAATATACTATGTTTATCTAATATCTGTATTAAAAAAGTGCCAGCGTTGTTATTGAGTGACCAATATTGGACCATGCAATAGACCTACTCTACATTGGATTGACATCGCAATTAAGCAATTTCTATGTGTGTCAAGGTATACGGAGCAAGTGGGAGAGAAAGAGAAAGATAGTTCGCGTGAAAATAGTAAAAATACGGTGATGGTTCGTTATGATGCGTTTTCCCATGACGCGTGCAAGTAGTAGGAATCGCGTTCTTCATGGATATTTCTTCTTCATGGATCAGGAAGCACGACGCACGGCGTTGCCAAGCACAAGTCCGCATAGCGCGTGCGGAACTTCGGCACGTTTCGAATAAGCGTTCCGAGACAATTTACGTAATACACCGCGGATCCCTCTCCTTTCCGTCCTCTTCGCCCTTCTCATCTTCTCCGCTTTCCACCTGCGCTTTTCTTCGTCTTCCTCCAATTCCGCTCATCCGTCTCTCCTTCGTCGTGATCGCGCGTGCGAGTTACGCTGATCGTTCTCTTTCTCTCTCTCTCTCTCTCTCTCTCTTCGTTACTTCGCATCCGATCGCTCTCAAAGAGTCGCTTTCGAGAGAGGTGGACGAATCGTTCTCGTCGGAGCGGGCACACCACCGCTCCCTGGTATTTTTAGTACGACGAGAGAGTATTTGGCGGGGCGCACCGAGTTTCGCCTTCTCCTCGTTGTTGTCGTCGTCGTCGTCGTCGTTGTCGCTACCACTACTGCTGCCGTCTTCGTCTTCGTCTTCGTGAACGGCCGACGTCGTCCTGCTGATCATCGTCGTGGTTGTAGCTTAGTGCTTTGCTTGACGGTGTTCTTTCTCCTTTCGTGATCGGCGTGCTCGGCGCCTTTCCGTAGTGATGTACCTGCGTAGAAGACCGTTTCGTCAGCCTCGGTGTCTTCGTGTTCGATCGCTCTTGCGGCCAATTTCCTCGCACGACTTAACCACTACGGCTCGGGCATGTCGCGCTGAGATCACCTCGCGAGATCCGCCAGGACAATCTTGAATGTTCCGCTCGAGGGTCGGATTATCTGATCTGGGAAATCGTGGGTGGTTCGACGTAGTTCGCGAGTTGACAGCGATCTCGAGTTCATATTCGCCCAAATGTTCATATTCGCACCGCGCGACAGCATGTCGACGTCTCGACAGAGCTCGGTCGCGCGACGAGGTCGTTTCGCACGCTCGTCCACCACGACCAGCGTGACGCAGATGCTAAGCGACTCCTGTACGAGTCTCCTCCAGAAGTTGACTACGAGGGTGCGCGGAACGTCCGCGCTCAACGACCGAGGCGTCGGCGCCACGGCTGCGAGGCGATCGCCTATTGTCGGCCGACTGGGTAGTACGCGAAGTCGCTTAGAGGACAAGTACAGCACGATTTTAGACAAGTATTCCAGCAAGAGGCACGTCAATGACTCGGAGCGAAGCGCCGGCGGTTATTCGCGGAGGCAGGAGCGCGATCACAGCTATTATCACCGAGACGACAGTCCGTTTGTCCGCGACGACAAGACTCTGGAGCCCTCGATGACTCGTACCATCATCAAGAGTCCCACCAACGTGATTCTCAGCGAGAAAGCTTATCCCTACGTGAGCTCCGCGATAAGCAGGGAACCCAGGCGCGAGAAGACGCCCGCCTACAACCGCACCGCACGACAGACTTTACTGAACTCGGAAGCTTATCGCCGCTACGGTAGACACAAATCCGGACACGCGGAAACGCGCAGTCGGAAGGTGAGGCCGCATCGAAACGGCAAGAGCGAGCAGCTGGAAGCTCGCTCGACGTCCCTGAAATTGTCCCGACCAGTCAAGATCGAAACGTTGACGTTTACGGACGAGATCACGGTCGATCCGGACAAGACGCCAGTCGCCAACAACTACGCGGAGAGCAGTGACATCGTTCAGAATGTTACGCGGAACGTGTACGACGTGCTAACCGAGGATGTGGATCCGTCGATCTCGGATCGGGCGGCCAAGCGAAAGGAGATCCAAAGCCTGATCTTGAAGTACGCCGCCATGGAGGACACCTACAGCCAATTGGCGGCCGGCGGACAGGCGAACGTACGTCCCAGCACGACGGATCTCATCGCCAGCAAGTACAGAAGAAGCAATCAGCGTAACAACCAGAAGGAGGACGCGTCCAAGGGCGCGGTAGCCCCGAGTAGCGCGAGCGCGATTAACGAGGTGGACGCGATCCACGACGCGATCGTAAGTTGTCGAGCCGCGGGTTGTCCGGATTGCGCGATCTCGCGAAAGCGACGCCGACCGCCGTTTTAAGCAGAGCGTGTCCGTTGCCGCTGTTGTCTTGTCCTCTTCGTCCTCGCCTGTGTGTTCGTTTGTAGTATGTGTGTGTGTGTGTGTATATGCGTTTGCAGACGCGCGCAACTTGTGTGAAATCCCTTTCCGTCCTAACACACTCCCTAGACTCACGCTGACTGGCGTCTGTTACGCGAAACCGTTGAAAGGCCTATTAACCGCAGTAGTCGCCACACTACCTCTCCGATAAGCTAAACACTGCACGTCTGCCAATGTTTGCCGTGAGAGTACCCACGAGGATACCCTGGAACACTCGCCTGCCACGCCGATCTACCTTATCGCGTTTCCAAGTGTAATATTTATCAATCTCTTCTGTTTCCGACTCGGGGATTGAGAGTAACACGTTCCATGTAACATATACATTTGCGATGTAGATACTGTTTGTGCTTAAGATTCAATTCGGTTATCCGACCATTTGAATCGATCGAACCGTCATCTTACATGGCGGCTGGATATTCAAGACTACGCTGCGGTACACTTGTGGAAAGTGAACTAAATCTCATTAAGATCAGAATTGTATCGACATCGAAGATGCAACAGTTTTGTTTACGATTATCTCCCTTTTTTTTCAATGATCTTAATAACATGTTGAGAGTACGAAGGACTACGAGAGAGTACGTGGCTCTGCTTCTCCTCTTTCTGTTTAATTTCATCCGTACGCAGAAGTGACTAGCGATCGACGATCCGAACAATTCGACAGTTCAATTCGCGTGTCGTATTCTCGATAAGGTAGGATCGAAACCCCCGATCAGTATTGCTCCGTATTGTGGCAATGAGGATCGTGCCCCATGAGGATCGAGAGATATCTCTATCGATCGTCGTGGAGCGGCGCGGGCGGTTTACGCGAAACACGTAAGTACTATGACGAGTCTATTAAGCAATTAACAGTTTAACTAAGCTACCTCTCCGAGTCCGTGTTAGATGAAAGGTAACGTGTTACGAGCACTTCGAAGGAAGCTGTCCGGTCGTCCGCGTATGTTTTTTTTCTTTGTCTCTCTTTTTTTATATTTGTTTATCTTTCGTCGAGATTGGGATTCGGGCAAATCGGAATAATTCATTGTCTCGTTCGCAAAATGATCATCGATGAAATATAGTAGTATATATAGTATAATACATATATATATATTTATTTATTGTCATTTAAATCATTGCCATATATACCTTATCGCGATTATCCGATTATACGTGTACATAACGCACATGATTCTCTCTCTGCTTTTCTCTGTCTGCCTACGTTAGAATGTGCATTTGTAGTCGTTTCATGTACGAAGTGCTCTAGTCCGTAGAGCCGTGCGCGTCTTGAAACCGGCTCCTTCAAGACACGCATATACCAGGTCTAACACGAATACATATATAACGAGTATATAGGCGAGCGAGATTTAAAAAAAGAACCGGAAACGGATAAATAATTAAAATAAGAGAACGTCTGCCATACGAAAAAGTAATGTAAAAAAAACATAGACTAAAGAAAAGCGTAAAAAGTAAATGAAAAAAGAAAAGAATATACGTATTATGTGCCGAATGGTAAATTCGTAACCGCAACTTTCTGACTTGGCAAACCATTTTGCCCTCTCCCCTTTCTCTCTGATTGTTGGGTTACCATCTCCGTTGTAATGGAATGGAATGGAATGGAAACGGATATGGCACACACGGATTGGTCACAACTATGGTCGACCGGGCGCTCGGATCGGGTTGGCGTCTCTCTCTCTCTCTCGATGACGATGACGATGTTATCCTACCTTCCTACCCCCACCGACACACTCGTACGTTCGTCCCGTGCTTACACACGTCCTCTGCCGCGTGTTACACGGGTCTCCGCCGATTCGCGGTGGTGGTGACGACGGTGGTGGATGGCACGGTGTGTGGCAATTAATTGACGATCGGCGGCCGTCTCGACCTGGATACCATCATCCCATGACTGGCCACGTGGACACGGCGGATGTGACCCGACGACCCATCGACTGGCCAACGGCGCCTTCGACTCTGGATACGTGCATCTACGACCGGCATGATCTCTCCACGGTTCCGAATCGGACCGACGCGAACACGGAATACCGAACACGGCGGGTCCGCGATCTGCGATTGGGTCCAACTCTTGGCACGCACCGATACCGATACCGCCGGCCCAAATAGAGCCCACGACCGCCCTCCGTCGAGGACGATGAAGACGGCCACCTTGTATACCAATCCGGCGACATCCTGGCAAATAGATGTTCGTGATCATGTGAATACACTCATTGTAGTAGATTTAAGCAAGCCTCAGGTCGATTAACTGATCGGTTATCTACGGTATCTGCCCCTACTCTTTGTCTCTCTCTCTCTTTCTTTCTCTCTCTCTCTCTCTCTCTCTCTCTCTCTCTCTCTCTTTCTTTCTCTCTCTCTTCTCTCTCTGTCGTTTCTTTTTCTACTTCTCTCTTTCACTTTTTTTTTCACTTCTCCTTGCTTGAACTATGGGTATTATATATGAAACAATATTTACACTAAAAAACAAGAGTAACAATTCACGCGTTAATCACGTTGTTGATGTATCGATGTTCTCGCTGAGCGTCGCTGTTCAGCATACACATACGCGCATATATTGAGATATGTTATATATATGGAACCACTTACCTGTACACACATTTGTGCGTATTGGCGCGGTTCTCTGTCTAGATCGAAAATTCTCCCTGTCGATCTTTCCGGACACTTTCGCGCGCTAACTCGGTGTACGCGAAAGGTAAAAAAAAAAGATATAGTTTCTCTTTGTCTGTCTGCTTATGTAAGATTTATCTCAGAAAGATATCTAAGAAATAATATGAATATATATATTTAGCAACCACATGTTTCAATAGCACGTAGGAAGTCCGTCGGCTCGATGACGACGACGACGACGATTATCGGGAAGCCGGCGCAAAGAGATTTCTTCTTGATTCCCCGTTGAATCGCGGATCCCTTCTTAACGCGAGGGTGGTCCGGTGGAGACAGAGAGCTCGGAGGAAGGAAGCAGAGATGAATGAGAAAGACCGAAGGGCCTTACTCTTATTTTGCGCTATCTTCTCGATACGTCGTCCTCGGGACGACGTGTTCCTCGCTCTTGTATTCGCGCGCGAGGACGACTGGCATTTACTCTCATCGTCTTTATATCGCTTTATATCATTGAACTCTCCTTGCCTACGCGTTACGTTAAGAACGAAGGACGGGACGACGTAAAAGGTTCTCCCGTACGACCGACAGTAAATGCCACGTCCCGCGTGTCCGTTCAAACGATTACGCTGCTTACCCCGTTTTAGGGCCTTTAGGAGAGCAGCGATGTTTCCGATCGACATTTAAACTATACGATATCGTTCCATTTAATACCGTTTATTCGTTATCCCGTTCACCATGAACCGCGCGTGTACGATAACGCACGATCGGCCGAACGCCCACACGGAAGAGTCTCGCCCGCGTTCCTTTGCGACCCCCATTTTTCTGTTTTTTTTTCTCTCGTTCAAGCGCGACGGCTCTCCTTGAGAGAGCGGTCTTCCTTCTTTTTTTGTTAAAGGATCACACCCGCGTTTGTCGAAGCCACGAGCGAGAGGGTGTCCCGTTCGATTGGTGAACGCAGGCGAGCACTCCCTCCTCCCGTGGGCCGCGAGGCTCGTATCCGCTTGGTATTTATCTCGATTTTTGCATTGCAGATAAAGTACTGGCCACCCTAGGAGAGGGTACTTTTGGAAAAGTTGTCAAGGTTAAGGACTTGCAAATGTAAGTGCCAGCTCACATAAGTACATAGGTAACATATTTCGTGTCTCGCACGTCTCTACCACTGTCTACTCATATCTCTCTTTCTATCTTCCTACCTACTTATTTCTATTTATCTCTTTTCGCGGTCGCGCTCGCTATCCTCTTGGATCTCGCTCGGTTCCTCTCGCGCGTCATCGTCAATTCGCGCGCGGAGGAAAATCCTAAATGCGCGCGTTACGCGACGACGTTCCGCGGGCAGAAATAGCCATCCGGCACTGTCACAAAATGACGCGCGAGTAGTCGCAATAATAGGATGGCCTTGCACTTTGTTTTACGGGTTGGGCATTTGTGACGGCCGCGAATTAGATCTCTTTAGCGGAACATGAAGTTACGGCAAATGCCCGCGTGAAAAATATTCTCCACGTGCGGCTTCGTCCTCACGGGATGCGGGATTTGAGCTGAGGAGAGACAATTTCGGTATCAGATATCATAATCGTTATGAACATTCTAGGGATCATGTTATGGCTTTGAAGATTATTAAAAACGTGGAGAAGTACAGGGAGGCAGCGAAGTTGGAGATAAATGCTCTTGAAAAGATCGCTTTTAAGGACCCGGAAGGCCAGCAGTTAGTATACAAATCGTTTTATTTATTCTTTAATCTTTAAGTAGTTTTATAGACGAGAAGCTACTCTACAAGCAAGGATATTTTTTGTTTCAATTTAAATTATAAGTTGAAGAGTGGCAGCAACTAACTATCGATTATTCCATTTTAGTCTATGCGTAAAGATGCTCGACTGGTTCAATTATCACGGGCATATGTGCATCGCGTTCGAAATGCTCGGTCTGAGTGTTTTCGATTTCCTGGTGAGTATCGAAGTAAGTACCTCAGACGAATTCGACGCTATCATATTCGGGATGTTGACGAAATTATTTTTACAGAGGGATAACAGTTACCAGCCGTATCCATTGGAACATGTCAGGCATATGGGCTATCAGCTTTGTTACGCCGTAAAGTTTTTGCACGACAACAAGCTGACGCACACGGATCTTAAACCGGAGAACATCTTATTCGTCGACTCGGACTACGACAGCACGTATAACAATAAAAAGGTGTGCTGTTGTTATTATTTTGTATTATCAGTCCGTCGAGCTTCGATTCGGCATATAGGATAAGCTTCCATTCTAAAGTGTTTCAAAAAAGCTCTTTCTTTTCAAGCGGAGGGACATGAGACGCGTAAAGCGAACCGACATCAGACTTATCGACTTTGGTAGCGCTACTTTCGACCACGAGCATCATAGTACGATCGTTAGCACGAGACACTATAGAGCGCCCGAAGTAATTTTAGGTCAGTGCCTATCTTAATATATTTTTTTGGTTGCACGTACATTTGTATCGCGATCTCCATCGTTAATCTTGTATTGTTCTGTATGTAGAACTGGGCTGGTCTCAACCCTGCGACGTTTGGTCCATTGGTTGCATCTTGTTCGAGTTATACCTGGGCATCACGTTATTCCAAACACATGATAATCGCGAGCACTTGGCGATGATGGAACGCATACTTGGAACAATACCACATCGCATGGCCCGCAAAACTAAGACCAAGTACTTCTACCACGGCAAACTGGATTGGGATGACAAGAGTTCGGCCGGTAGATATGTACGAGAAAATTGCAAGCCGCTACATGTTAGTATTTTGATTTTACTTCAATCAAGTTTTTACATGAAATTGTAGCTATTAACCATACGAATTGAGACAAAGGTCCAAGTAACCAGAATAAAGTGGGTAGAATTATTGTAATTAGAATTTATTCAATTAGTGATAAAATTGTTTTCGATAATGATGCAATTGTTGGTTTCGAAAAATAATATGTACTTTCATGTCTGTGTAGCGTTACATGCTGTCTGATGATGAGGAGCATCGTCAGCTGTTCGATCTCGTTCAAAAAATGTTGGAGTACGAACCCTCGCAACGCATTACTTTGAAGGATGCTTTGACTCATCCATTTTTCGATGCTTTACCGGCATCCCAGAGATTGCCCGACCCGCGTGCAGCTGGTGATTCTCAACAATCTCACGAACGATCACATTCACTCTCTCGATGAAGCTAGGAAAGGGACCGACCTCCGTGCTGGACAGACACTCCACTTTCAACGACGCTACTGCCCTACGTCTTCGTTCTGATATCATTAGTTTTCATGAAAACATGTCTCTTTCGTAATTATGAAACTCGATGATGAGATACGACACGAACATTGACATTTAAAAGATAGTGCGTGCATGAGTGTATAAATACCGATCATTGGAATTTCTCATTTAATTCGCACTCGATTTAACTTGAAACTATGTATATGTAGGAACTACACGTAGGGAAAACAGTAGTGCGGTGGTGCCGTGGAACTTGGACTACGTCGAATTCGATATATTTAACGATGAGCGATCAGATTACTACCCGTTACTCGATAAGGTTCTTAGTGGTCCGTTGTGTTTTTAATCGCAATTGTCGATCATGAGGCAGCGACGAGGTCCCTGTTACTGGCGTACAAAGGCCAGTGTGTCTGCTCAGTGTAGCGTAACAGAGTCCCACAATTGTAAACAATTTTTTAAACGCTCTTCTGTACATTTTTTGTCCCTTAAATTTATTACCATGTTACTGTGCGATATAAACGAGTTTGAGTAAAGATCACTTTCGGGGTCCGCAATTTATAATCCGTTCTAAATTGATGACTACGAACGTGTTCGAGCAGTATCAGACTAGTGATAAAGTGGAAGATAGTTTTACGCATACACGTCAATAGAGTTGACAGGAATCGAGAGAAAGCGAGAGTGTGTGAATAACGATCACCAATTCATCGTTGTGAATTATATACATCTTGAAACGTAAGAATACATAATTGTCTTAGAAAATATTCTCTCAACGGTTCTTTTCTTTCATTCATTTCTGATATATTGAATTTGAAAAAAAAATCGCGCAACTTCTTCACGACTTGCCGACTTAGCACTGCCTTTAAATTCTTGGCCTAATTAAGCAAAAACTTTTTGTCGATTCTACATTTTACATTATTGTGCTATAAAGATTTTAGTTAAATTGGTGACGTACGCCGGGTATTATGGGAAATGATATGTCGAACGTGAAAAGGCGACTTTTTTTTTTATCACTGACATCTTTAATTTGCACAACTGTATCACCTGTGTAAGTTTTGTTTGACCTTAGTTATACTACATCTACGAAATAAAGAATATTATATCTACTGCTCGTTAAACGACCGGGGATGTCTACTTCTGCAAAAAAAAAAAACCGATTCTTTAAGTAGCAATAAATACATTTCTTTCGAACCAGCATCGATATTTATTTGTTCAACCAGCAAATCGATTCTTATATGAAGCTCATATACTTTATTTGCAAATAAAGCCTGCACATAAAAAAAAATTTATTCCTGTGAATTTCAATAATTTTATATTGCACATTGGTCACATTCGCATATACGTGGCGCTTGAAATAAAATAACAGCCCGATCAACAGGCTTTAGAGAAGCGAGGAAAATTCGTTTCCCGAAGAATTCCCTCAAAACATTATGTGTATATTTCTCTTCCGTAGATCCGAGATAATTGTGCGTGGAATTATATGACGTCAAATTAATGAAAGTATTACAATTTCGGCCACGAGTAAATTGGAGGTATGGATGACTTGTAGCTTGGATCGTACAGCTGCGCCTTAATAAAACTCTCGTAATCCGTAGGCTCGGGATGGACAGTCGCTAGGCCTGCGCATAAGAAAGATACATGAATAATTCATATTATATGTTAGAATGCACGAGACGAGATGCTTCGTATATGCCCGTCTCCTCCGATGCATTTGCAATAATATTTATACTCACAGTTGTCATAGGCATATTTCATGATCGCACATGCTATACTCAGCGAGCATTTCTGTATGTCAGCCAACGGTGGATAAAGATTTCCGCTGTCCAAGTCTGTTTGCGTTACCAAATCAGAAAGAGTTGTTGCAGCAATAAGAAAAGTCTCTTCGGGAATTGTGCGCATACCGGCGCATATCGCGGCCAGCGCGATTCCAGGGAATATGTAACTATTATTACCCTGGCCAGGATAGTAAGTCTTATTGTTGTACGTTACTGGTAGGAAAGGCGAACCGCTCGCGAATATGCATCTACCCTGCACAATTCAAACGATATTTAATAAAATTATTTAGGAACCGTTGAAATACCATACTCGTTAGATATTTCAATAAAAATCAGAGAGTTCTTTAAGGACAGTCTGTCTCGAATGCGTAATCAGCTTCTTACCTCTGTAGCAATGTACGCTTCCTCAGCGGTGCACTCTGCCTTGCTCGTTGGATTGCTCAGAGCGAAAATGACGGGTGTCTCATTGTGACGCGCCATTTCCCTCAGTATTTCTGTTGTGAAGGCACCCCTGATAGCAGCTGCGCCGATGATAACCGAGGGTTTGGCAGTCTTAACGACGTCCAACAGAGTATCGATCGGCTGGTCCTCGCGAGCAAAGTGCAATTTATGCTCCGTCAGTCCGCCTTTTGGACGATTTTTCACTAACAATCCTTTCGAGTCTACCATCCAGATTTTGCTCTTAGCTTCGTCCTCGGTTGCCCCTTCCTTTTTCATCGTCATTACGCACAACGACGCGATACCTAACGACGCCTACAAACAGTTGATAATTTACGATAAACGCGTATCGCTCTCACGGCTAAAGCACGCGTGCTTTTTTGTCGACGGTTAACGTGTTAACTAAATGTGATAGCAACCTCTCCGGCACCCTGAAACACGATCGTGTTCTCCGAGAGCTTTGTCCGCGTAACGCGAAGAGATGCCAGTAATCCGGCAACGGCGACGGAGGCGGTGCCTTGAATATCATCGTTAAAGGTACAATACATGTTGCGATACTTGAGAAGCAATCTGAACGCGTTAAAATTTCCAAAGTCCTCGAACTGGATTAATGTATTCGAGCCGTATCGTTTCACGACAGCCTTCATAAACTCGTCCACGAAGTCGTCATAGTCTTGTCCGGTAACACGTTTGTGTCTATGACCGATGTACAGGGGATCATCCAACAAAGACTGCAAGAAAAATATAAAAATCAAACACGCATATATGGATTTAAAATTAGAAAAGAAATCAATTCGCGGTTTAGTGAGAAAATCAAGACGCCGTTTTTATACTATAGATCTAAAATATATTTTCGCGTACCTGGGTATTGGTGCCGACATCCAGAGTGATAGGCAAACACTGGTGGGGCTTAATACCAGCTAATGCGGTGTACAGTGACAATTTGCCTACGGGAATGCCCATGCCGTGAGCACCCAGGTCACCTAATCCCAATATTCTTTCGCCGTCCGTGACGACGATCGCCCGTACGTCGTGCTCGGGCCAGTTTTTCAAGACGTCGTACACGTGACCTTTGTCGTGAATGCTTATGAAGAGGCCGCGCGGCCTACGATAAACCAGACCGAATTTCTGACATGCCAGACCCACGGTTGGCGTGTACACCAGCGGCATCATTTTACCTACATCTTCTGCCAACAAACGGTAGAAGAGTTTCTCGTTTCTGTCCTAAGGAACAAGACCCTAATGTGAGAATCAACGCGTACAGATAGGAGCGGGCCTGATAACTGCCGTGTTCATGTACCAGTAGGCCTATGAGATATATGTATTTCGAGAGATCGTCCGTATAGCGTTCCAGATTAAGACGGCAGAGCTCTAACTGCTCTTCTTGGGTTTTCACGGCTGCCGGTAGGAGACCATGTATACCCAGCATCTGCCTTTCCTCGATGGTGAACGCCATGCCCTGAAACGTGATAATACTGTTTAAAAAGTGAAATTGAAACTCACCCTAGCATATCTCTACCTCTCTTAAAAATCCCTAATAATTCTATGATTTAATTTTATTTATCAAAATGTTTTTCAAAATTAATTGTATCCATCGTTCAGACTATTTCAAATGTTGAGTGTTGCACGCGCGTCGCTATCGCTTCTTTTTCTTGTAAGATCGCAAATCGGAAAAAATTAATCGATGAGTCAGAGCACCAGACTATAGACTCTGACCTTCAATTAAAAAGACTGATGGTGCCGTAAATGCTGACTGCGCAACAATCATTAGTGAATGTGGGTGAAAGGTGATCAGCTGATCGTCGTTCCACTTTGATTTTTACAAATGCGTTGATTAATGTTGCATGAACGTTACATCCGATGATCGTGATTCAGATAAATATATATATATATCAGAATTTACCCGCGGGACTCACATTTTCCATGATCCACATTCGCTTTCAAGGTTAATGACATTATAATTGCCCGTGGCAATTGTGTCTAATTTAATCTAGCTTGTATGGATGATGTCAGACAAACACGCGTTATCTCACAAAAGTGATGAAGAAAATATTCGATTGCATTATTTAATCTTTTAATCGACGTTGAAGCGACAACACAAAACCTTGTATTTAAGAGGCGTTTTAAATATCTAATTTATTCTCTCGAGTAAGTTTAATCCGAAATATCTTAACAGCTAGTACTTTCAGAGATAATCGCGTAAGTTTAATATAGAACACCCTTTATATTAGATTGGATTATAGATGTAACACATATATCGTTGGCATAGTGATGTAACTGCATCTTGTAGGGACACTGCCAATGCTTTTTTAAAGCGAATTGTTAGACTGTGCCAGATAATCCTTAAACTATCGGTCGATTAAACGGGCTATTGTCAACACGGTATACGATTATTTCACCATTAAAATTTAACGAATGCCCGTGTTTCGCTCGCTCGTACTTTGAACGCAAACTCGCTATTAGTAGAAAGTATTAATTAATTAACATTGCTCGCGTCAGCTCTGTTAATTATATGTTACATTCTTACAATAACTACAAGATAACAATTGCAATTACAAAAATTAACGAAAGAATTATACTAATAAAATAAAAAATATTCTTAAAATTAAAAAAATGATATGTGCTATAATAATTTTCCCGTTTTCTCATTGCGATAATATCTTTCCAACATTTTTTTAATGTCGACAAGCGAGATTAATTGTAAGACCAACAGAATAAATTATAACGTCGAATCGCGCGATAACATAATAGATGTTTCTAATTAATAAAACGTCAATATTGAAGGAGCAACATAAGTAATTTATGAGCTGACTTGTCATCCCGCCGACTTATCTCGACTGCGGTTGATGAACCGCATTGCTTTGCATTGATTTCATTCATTTTTAAATGCCGGAAAAGTATCGAGCTCTTGTCCATTATTCTCGAAAAGTGATAAACCGGTCCGGTCTGGTGTTAATAATCCAACTATCCGTTAATATTTCCCTTGATGGCTATGGTCATTTTACATCTTCTGATTTTTTTCCACACAGTTTGCTTCCATACAGCGCTATTAAACGATATAAGATATTCGATCTCTCTTTTTCATTTATCTCTTTTTTTTAATTTGATCTAAAATCGACATTTTTTAAAAGAAAATGTGCCAATATACGGTCGGGCTGGATCTTTTGTGTCTAACACAAAGATTTTTCGCGTGAATTTATATACAATTTGTTGTCGGTCTTGAAACACAGTTTGTTGAAGCTAGAATAATATTATCGCATAATTATATTGATAATTATATTAATAAATTCAATAATACCGATACTCATGCGTATCTGTAGAAACACTGCAAAGAACGTTGCAAAAAATTGCGGAAATTTTTCTCGTCAAAAACAAGTATTGTGACTTTTGTGCGACCGAAAGTTTCCGCGTGTGGTTCTCGATAACAATGCATTGTCGCCGGTAAATGTAAATGGTGCATGATAACATATCTACCGCTTTTATATCCGTTCTTACATAAGATGTCTCTTGATGATAAGACGTAAATGTGGTTTTGCGCGAAAGCATTTAACAACTTTAATTTGTCAATACGTAAGATATATGATGTTTTTGTGATCCTTGAGTCAATTGTTGTTGTTTAATCAGTTTCTGATTAAACCATAATTTATAATAATTTTATCAGCTTTTAAAAGATGATTTTTTTCGAAATAAATGATATTGGTCATACCACAACGAATTGAATGAAAAATGATTAAATCTAATTCAATAGAGAGGTCAACGCTCGTAAGGAGTACTTTTCCATTAGGTGAGGTCATCTCCGCTTTTTGATGCACACCCTAAAACGATGACCAACTCTATCTTAAGTTTTATCAATAAATATTCTGTATTTAAACAAATTAAGTTCTTTATTCTATTTTTTTAATTTTGAAATTGGATATAAAAGAGAAATAAGATTTAGAATATAAATCTGTTAATGTAAAGTTAATTATTATCCACAAT